CAGGAAGCAACAAGTGACAGCCCCCTTGGGGTGTGTTTCCTGAGAGAAAAGAGACCAGTGTGGCTAGAAGAGGCTGACCAAGGGAAGGTTGTTGCAAGCTCTGAGTCAGAGCAGAGCCAGAACAGGCCAGGGGAGTGATACCGCTCCGACATGCCAGATGTGAGGCTCTCCTCGCTCACCTCACCGATTATTCCCACAGCCCAACAGAACAGGGGTTGGCAACCTGTGGCGCACAGCCAATCCCGGCCCACTGCCTGGGTCTGTAAATAAAGTTTTATTGGATCACAGTCACACCCCTTTGTCTACATAATTGTGTGTGGCTGTGTTGCTGCTTCAGCAGCAGGGCTGAGTGTTCACAGGGTTAAGAATACCATGTAATGGGCTGGAGAGATGGCTCAGTAGTTAGGAGCACTGACTGCTCTTGCAGAGGACAGGGGTTTGATTCCCAGCACCCACATGGTGGCTACAAACCGTCCTTAACTCCAGTTCCAGGGGAATCCAGAGCCCCCTTCTGACCTCCATAGCATTGCACGACACGGGTGCACTCACATACATGCAGGCAATACACTTATACGCATAAAATAAAAATAATAAATGAAATATTAGAAAAAAAAGAATACCATCTGGTCCTTTATAGAAAAAGCTGCTAAGATGGGCGTGGTAGTGCATGCCTGGAATTGCAGCACTCTGGAGGCAGAGGATTGCTGCAAGTTCAAAGCCAAGTTGGTGTACATAGTTTAAGGCCAGCCAGGTCTATATATATGGAGACCCTGTCTCAGCCCCCTCTCCCCCAAAAGTTTACTTAATCACTTCTAAGGGAATCATTTGACCTTTACAGATGAGATTTCTAAGGCATAAATAAGTTCTTTATTAAATCTATAAAGCTAATGAGCTGGATTTGAACTCGGCTCAAGTTGAGGGGTCTACACATGGAACCCCTACCTAAGATTGCCGGGAGGAGGAGGGGGACACACGACACGGGAGCTGTGGCAGGCTTCTGCACAAAATGGTCTAGGAACACAAGAGGCTCAGTCTCTGGCAGGCCATTGAGTAAACTGATTGGTGGGGAGGTGATTGTGACTACAGGGAGATAAGTTATCTAGGCAAGAAGTCCCAGTGGCCTTAGCCCCAGTGGGTCCCCTGTAGCTTTGTCTCTTTCTCTCTCTCCATCTGGTGGGTTGAGCTTGTGAATTCTCTCCTGCTTCCTCTTTCTCCAACCTATTTCCTCTCTTTCCTCCGGGTTTCACTTCCCCCACTCTTCTCTGCCTTTCCCAGACTTGGGGCCCCAGGACTTGCTTTCCACTAAGGGAATGTCCAGGGAGGGAGACTAGTGGGAGGGTGGAGTTCCTTTGGCTTGTGGACATAAGTGGCTGGCAGCACTGGGGCTGGGTGGGTGGGTCCTGGGCCTCCCAGCCTCTTTCCACCCAGCCAGGTCTGAGAGCCTCAGGATGGGGTTGGGGTTGGGGTCCAAGAGGAGCATGTGGCGCAAGAACTTGCCTCTATCTAGAATTACCACTGAGGCCTGGCCCCAAGGAGAGACACAAGCAAAGACACAGCAAGCTGTACTGTACTCACCATAAGGACACCACATAGTCAGTCTCTCTCTCTCTCTCTCTCTCTCTCTCTCTCTCTCTCTCTCGACAGTGTCCTGTAACCACACCAACACATTTACTTCTCAGGATTTGGGACATGTGAACTGTGACACCTGGCAGCAGTCCACAGATTAAAAACACAGAATATCACCCCATCACATAAACAGCCCAGCCCTGGGGCCTCATTAGGACATGATATAAATAGAGTTAAATAGAAAAGGCCATTACACAAATATATTCCACAGGGTCATGGTCACCACCACATGCCAGACTTAGATTTAGACAGTGTCACACATCAGACACACATCACAGCATCAGAGCCCTGTTGGGAAATGGACCCCCCAGCAGTTACACAAACATCCTCCATGGGGTCAGGGTCATCTCGTGACCTGTCACAAACCCACCCATACCACACACAGAGGTTTTACACAGGTCACAACCCTAGCCAGACTGTCAGCAGGCCACAGCTACTGTCTGACGCCCTTCATACACACACTGGCTTGGGGAATCCCGAGTGGCCCCATAGACAGTTGCAACCCCATCACACCCAGACAGGGTCACACCCAGGATCCCAGACGTAGCAGCTCCCACGCACCCAGACACACCACCAGGGTTGTGGAGCCCTCACCCCAGGATTTCACCCTGCCTGTGGCCTTGGGACATGACAAGTTCTGGCTGTGCCTGGTGCCCTGCCCACTGGTGACACAGCCTGCCCACCTGTGCTATGCCGCTGAGCTGGCCTGGCTCCTGGTAGGCATGGGGGGTTGGGTAAAGTGTGGGCTCAGCACTTCTGTTGGCCTCTTGCCTCCCCTGCCCAGCTGCCCTGGCACCTGGACCCAATGGGTGGCCTGGCCCAGCCCAGTTGGGACATGTCTGCCCTACCCACCATCATCCACCACAGGGGCAGGGCAGGGCAAGGGGTCAAGTCGCCCCACCCCTCAGGCAGCTGGGGCATGGGGGAAGTTGTGGAGGGGGGGCTGGGTTCCGGCTGGAGCCTCAGCTTCCCGTCCAGCCTCCAGCCTTCATGGCAGGAAGCAGCCAGGGAGGCCAGCTCTGGCCTTCCTGCCCCCTCCTGGACCTGCTGGGACTGAGTGAGAGGGGGAAGGGAAGAGAGTCAGAGGAGCAAGAGCCCCCTTCCAGGGGCACACACAGCACCTAGCACCCAGGGTGTTTTCTATTTCTAGTGGGACTATAGGTGTTCAGAACTGCCCCCCTCCCTCTAGCTGTGTGGGGTACGTCTCTCTCCAGCCCTGTGCTGTCTTTAACTCAGCAGCCTGATGCCTGAGGGCATTTGTCGTGCATGGCATCTGGCATTGTCAGTTGGGGGTGCATGCCCCCAGCACGTGTTCAGCTCCGTGTTTGTGGCCAGTGTGCTGCCTTTCTGTTGAGTGCTCTCCTGGTTCATGTTTCTGCTGGACAAGCTGGGGTGCTTTCTGTGGGCTCCCCTGGCACTGTTCAGTTGGTGAGTGTGTGTACCAATGGGTCATGTATCTGGGATGAGTTTTGTGTCTGAGCTTTTTTTTCCCTCTCTCAGCATCTTCACAGTTCTCTGGATGTAAATTTTTGTACTGTGTCAGTTCTGTTTGAAATCTAGGTGTTCTCTGCATGTCTGTGGGGCCGCGAGGAAGATGTTTTTTGGGAGGTGTTGTGTATCTTGTTTTACACATGAGCTGTTTTGGGTGCACGTGTGTGATACTTGCCAGTGTCTTGTGTTCCTGTGGGTGAGTTGTTTCTGAGTTAAAATTTTTTTTTGGCACTTTTTTCTAAGTGCTAGAGCTGGAATCTAGGGCTTTGAATGTGCTAAGAAAGCACTTTACCCCTTTACCACCTTTTTAGCCAAAGCTTTCTTTTTCTTTTTTGAGACAGGGTCACATGTAGTCTAGGCTGACCTTGAACTCCTGATCCTCTTCCCTCTATCTCTAGAGTGCTGGGATTATAGGTATGAGTCAGTCACCATGCCTGGTTTTATACAGTGCTGAGGATGAAGCCCAAGCAAGCATTCTACCAACTGAGCTACATCCCCAGCCCCAGGGCTGTATTTGTGATCAGTGTGTTTCACAGTGTGTGTCCATGATGTGTCTCTGACACACTTTGTAGATATTAGTATTCACGAGAGGCTGTATTGGGCTGTGAGGCCTGTGTATCCCTCTCAGAGACTGGTATTCTCAGCCTGGGTGGGCATCTGTGAGCAGGTGGAATTAGCATTGGTGTCCCCACCCGTGGACTGGTGACTTCAGTGTATGAGGAGTTGTATGGGTCATACTGAGGGTGTTTGGATGTGCCAGCAGGGGGGCGGGGGGGGGCTGCGGCAGCACTGTGTGCTGCTGTTTTTAGAGGGAACCTCCTAGCTTGTGAATCCACTGGCTGCTGTGTGACCAGTGCCTGCTGGCCTCTGCGCTGAGTGGAGTTTGTGTCTGTGGCATCCCCTTGCTGGCTGGTGCCACGTTGGCTCACGGATGGCTGTGGCAGCGGCCAGGGCAGGGCAGGGGCTGTGGTGGGCACTGGCCTCACGCCCAGCCTTGGTATAAATATCCCCAGGCTGCCGGCGGCTGTTTACTTGGCCCCAGCCTGGGGGCGGCATTGGCCCAGCAGGTCCTGGGGGCGGGGGTGACCAGGCCACAGCACAGACACATCCTCCTGGCCAGACGGCCTGCAGCCCTTGCTGCCTTCTCCTGGGTGGGGGCAAGGCGGTGACCCCTCATTCTGGGCTCCCAGGGACCACCAGTGGAGCTCTGACCTGGACGTCCCAGGGTCTGGGAGACAGACAAGGGCAGGGGATGGACCAGGATACAGAAGGGAGAGGGACAGGAAAAAATGAGGGTGAAGGGCAGGGGAGGAGAGAGAGAGGGATGGGGAAGCAGGCTACGGACAGTGGCGGGAGCTCAGAGCTCGGTGGAGAGGGTAAGGGTAGAGAAGCAAGGGAAATGACAGTGTGGGGCAGGCAGGGATCTCCCCAGAAAGGAGCTGAAGCCAGTGGGGGCACAGACATTGAGAGAGGTTGGGTGTTGGCTTGGGTACAGGGTGACAGCCAGCAGAGACCCGGCCAGGGCAGGACAGACAGGAGACACGGGGGTGGGGGCCGGATGCCCATGAAGGGGCTCTCCCTCCCTGACTCAGCCTATCCACCCACCCCATCCCCAGAACTAAACAGCAGCAGAGTCTGCAGCCACTGTGGGGGCTGCTCAACCAGGGGCGTGTTTGCCGTCACTGCCCCAATCCTCTCGTCTCCACCCCTCTTCCTGTCTCCTCATCTAATCCCTGTCCCTGTGACCAGCTCCACCTCTGTCTCTCAGTGGCAGCCGTCCTCCTCTTGTTTCAACCATCTAACCCCAGATCCTGACTCAATGGCTGCTCCTCTCAGCTCTTTTTAAAAAGTTATATAATAGATTGATGCATGACAGTTTGTATACTAAACAAATTTAATGGTCAGACAGACTGGTCAACCGTAAATCCCTAGGCCAACATAACCCCCTGAAAGAGCACTCCTGTCCTTTTGAGTGGTATGACCCCAGTGGGGACACTGGGCCTCACTGCTGTCCTTAGGGGGGCGGATACAATAGGCAGCACATAGCACAGGTATACTATGACAGCTCGGGGATGGAGCACCATTCACATCCAGAGGTGACTCAGTTGCCTGCTGGTCGACCCCCACGGCACGTCTCTTCTGGAGGCTGCTGTCAAGAATTCCATCTGCGTATCTGCACCTCCATCTAGCTCAGGTGGCCCAAATGCTGGCAGGCTGACCAAGTGGTGTCTAGGTTGTGTGATCCAGTCTTGGCTCTGCCTGGGGGGCCAGGTGGTCTCAAGGAGGTACGTGGCCATCCTGGACCCCTTCATCATGTGTGACAAAGGAATCACAGCTGTCTGGTTCCAGGGCTGTCTGGAGGTGTGGTGGCCTTCCGCAGGCCTGGTAGGGGATGAGCTGCTGCCAAGCAAGAACTTTCAGTATCTCTCTCCACGTGAACACCCTCGATTTCCAGCAGCTGTCTGGGTGATTTTAGTTGACCCAGACGTCAGGACCTTGGCTCTACAAAGCAGTTTTGAGGATTCTTCAGGTATGGCCAGGACAGGATGCCACCATTCTACATCTCACAGCAGCGAGGGTCCCGGGCCCAGACATACTGGCCCCCATCCTCACAGTAGTCAGTCGCTTCTGTCTGCTGGGGCCACAGGGGCTGGGTGTGGGGCATGGGAAGGTAGGACGCCTGGGTTCCCACAGGCCACAGCTGAGTCACAGACGGCCATCTGGCTCCCATTAGCCCAGGGCGGCAGGGGGCTCTGTGGGGCGGGCCTGTGGCTGGCTGGGGGCAGGGGCCCGGCAGGCTGTGTGTGGGATGACTCAGGACCCATGATAACAGCCTGTGCGTATTTGGGGAGTGTAAACAGGAGGAGAGGGAGGTGGAGGAAGTGAAGAAAAGGAAAATGTGGCTGGGAGGAGGAGGGGGCAGAGGGGCTGGGAGGGGAGAGTCCCCCTCTTCAAGTCCCTCCTCCCACTCAAGTTGGTTGCGTGGTCCCCAGCTCTGCCTGTGTCAGTACTCCCAGCCAGGGTCCAAAGGGAGCAGCAGGAGCTGGTGGCTACCTTATTACCTGCCCCCCACCACCCCTCCAGGTCTCACTGCTGGACAGCCAGGGTTCTGCACAGAACTGTCAGGACTGGGGTAAGGGAGACTGACACCCCAGAGATAATGGCTGAGACAGGGACGGGCAGCAAGGAGGCCTGGAGAGAATGGCAATGTCTAGGCAGAAGGAATGAGAAGGCCTAGAGGGGGGCAGAGGAGTGATGGAACCTTAGTGAAGGCAGGGAGGTACCCAGCACAGGACTGCAGCAGTCAGAGCTGGAGTCACCAGAGCTGTGCTGGGGCCCAGGTGTGGCCTGGACTGGGTATAGGAATCCATGTGACAGCTCCAGCCATCATTGGCCCTGCTGGCCTCAGTAAAGGACATGTTCATCCAGGGTCCTTGTGGACAGAGCTCATGGCACAGAGAGGAAGACGAGGGTACACACGGAAGTCAGAGACCTGGAAGGCCTTCCAGAAAGTCAGTGACATGGAGGGTGGGGGGAGGTGACAGTAAGAAAAGACAGGTAAGCCAGGTGTGGTGACTCACACCTGTGATCATAGCACTTGGGAGGCTGAGGCAGGAGGACTAACTTGAGTTTTAGGCCAGCCTGGGCTACATAGCAAGATCCTGCCTCAAAGAGAGAGAGGGGTAGGGGATATGAAGAGAGAAGGCAACAGTGTCTCCAGGGAGATGGGTAGGGAACTTCAGAAACAGAGGTGGGGGCATTGTCTGAGGTGGAACCGGGCCCAAGGGGGCTGCCCTGATGTCCTGAGTCACTGAGCTGGCCTGAAATCAGCTGCCTTTGGAGGCTGGGCGGGGTGTATGGATAGCTGGAAGGGTGGCGGCCATCAGTCTCCATCTAGCTCTGGGCTGGGTGCATCCTCGGGCTCCTCTTCGTCGAAGTACCTCTCCTCCTCATCTCGTGCCACAATGTCCAGGTTATCGAAGTCAGGGTTGTCGTCCACGGTGCTGCAGGGGAGGAAGCTGTCAGAGGCCCTGGGAGGCCCAGGTCCAGGCTGCTCTTGGAGCTGACCCTCAGGGCGACACTGGGCTTTTCAGGACTTCAAAGGAGACATTTTCCCAATCAGTTTACATAACTCTGGCTTCTGTGGAAAACTGGACAATGTGATAACACAGGGCCCACATTCCTGAGGCTGGCTGACAATTTTTGCCTCCAAAGGCACTGTGGTGTTTTGACTGTCCCCATCACCACTCCTGCCCCAGCCCACACTCACCTGTACCTGCTGCCTCCCTGCCAGGAAGGCTTGACCCTTACCCTCTGCAGGTCTGTCCACATGCGACCTGAGGCCTTCTGTAACCCTGCATTGCCCACCTTGCCCTGCTTTGTCTTCAGGGCCCCATCACCACTAGCTGCAGGGTAGCCTTTAACTTCTCTGTGGGTGAGGACCCCTTCCAGGCAGGGAAACCTTGGCTGTGTCTGTCCCTTGCTTTATTCCTACAGTCTGGACACAGCACTTAAAACACACATACCACGTGTTGACTGTGAGACACATTTGGGCCTCTGCTGCCCCAGAGCTGCCCTTCTGAGGCATCAGCTTGGGTCTCCATCACTTCCTAGGTCCTTAGGGTCACCAGGAATAGAGGCAGGGCAGGCTTTGCTAGGTGCGCCATGGCCCAGCACTCCACTCACCATTTGTGGATGCACCCCAGATTCCAGATCTGTGGAATCCCAGCACGGACCAGCATACCCTGGTCCTGGGCATTGACCCCCTGGCAATGGCAATGATCTCCTTTTCACCGAAGTTGTTCATGGATAGTTCATGTCACTGGGACTGGATTTGAGCCCAGCAGGGCCACTGGTTGTTTCCTACAGCATGACTCCTTGGGTCCCGGGGAAGAGGCTGGTTCCTGGGCAAGCTCAGAGACTCTGAGGTGGTGGCAACCTGCCAGGCCATAGCCAGGTGGAAGCATTTCAGTACTGAGCTGAGGCCTGGCGTGGTGGTACACGCCTCTAATCCCAGCATTCCGGAGACATAGGCAGGTAGGTCTCTGTGAGTTTGAGGCCAGCCTGGTCTACACAGCGAATTCAAGGCAAGCTGGGGGCTACAAGGAGACCGTGTCTCAAAAAGACCAAAAGGGGGAAAAAAAAAAACAAAAAAACTGAGCTAAATGTGGTCCTTGCTTATAGACGAGGGAGTTCTGAGAGGGACAAGGCTAGTCTAAGTCACCTAGCCATCTCTGCTTGATCTGAAACCTCAAAGTTGCCAGGCCTGAGCAGCCGTGTTGCAGAATTATCCCAGGGCCTTCTAGGAACATGAAGGGAGGCCCTCTATAGATGTGCAGGGACCTGCATGTGGCTCAGGGGTATGGGTGCTGGGCTGGAGGTGGGGAGCACCTGTAGTCAAAGTCCCCGTCCTTGCCGTCCAGGAAGCGCTGGTGCATGCGGCTGGTGAACTCCTCCCGCAGGATCAGCCTCTCCTCTGAGTCGGGCACCCAGGTCTCTGAGTTGCTGTCTGACTTCTGGTCTGTGGAGACACCCCAGGAGGGTGGCTTGAACACGCATTCAGAGCTGCTGCTCTATGCCCAGCCCCATGCTAGATGGCACGGGGAACAAAGCATGACTGAAACAGCCCAGTCCCTGCCCTCCAGAGGTGCACACCAGACACAATGACATTGCAGTGTTCTGGAGACTGTACCAGGGACAGCACAGGGACCTAAAATAAGGGAAAAGAAGGGGTTTCAGTTGGCAAGGGCACAGCATCAGTAAGGACCTGGAGTGAGGGACCCTGTGCTGCCTCTGTGGAATGTGGGTGGGGGTACCAGAGTGGTCAGTGAGACATAGCAGGATGGAGGCCAGGCCAGGCAGTCTCTCGCAGGTTGGAAGCCCATCCTCATGCTACAACATGGGGAATCAGGCCTGGAGCAAGCGTTTCCCAAAACCAGCATCTCCCTGCTGCTGGAGCTCACCTTGCTCATTACCGTCTTCCTCCTCCTCTTCTTCCTCTAAGCAGGCCTCCTCCTCCTCTTGCTGCTGGAGCAGCCGTTGCTGCAGCTCTCGTTCCTGATAGGACTGGAGCAGCAGGTCAGACAGTGGGCAGGCAGGCGTGCTAGGGGACCCAGGTCTCGGGGGTTGGGGTGCTGGGGTACGGGCACTGAGCTCCTCCTGGGTGAGGTACTGTCCGATGTACTGCTCATACAGCAGGGGAGCCCGGAACCGCATCTGCTCATCACTGAAGTATTCACCCCCTATGCAGGGAAGAGGCAAGGTGAGTGTGTCTGAGCACATGTATCTAGGTATGCATGTGTCTGATCATGCTTATAAGATGGGTACCTATGCAATGTGCATTCAGGTACATAAGAACACACGAATAAGTGGCTGATGTCCTGTGGGCATCATAGGTGCACAGCCTATGATCAGCATGCTCATACAACCAGGCCTGAAACATCCTGGCTCTGAGGCCATGTCCAGCTGGAACCATATTCCGTGTCCCCAGGTCACGTGTGCCCATCTGCTTGCACATGCTAGCACACTGTTCACAGTACTTGCATGTCTGCATGTGGGACAGCAGGGGCTATATGTGCATGCAGGTTGTATATGCCTGTTGCTGAGTCTGCCTGGCACATATGGGAACATCTGTGTGGATGTGGCACATGTGTACAGTGAGAACGAGGCAGGGGCCAGGCTGTCTTGTGTGAAGATGTGACATGCAGGTCAGACCTCTCCCCTGGGCACTTCCCTCTGCAGCCTCTCCTCAGGTTCGCCTGGTTTCCCACCTGGTCCCTCCAGATCTCCTGGCTGCCTGTTTTGTAGGGGTGGCTCTGTCCTCAGAAGAGTTAAAGCTGCCCTGGGCTCCTCGCACTGCCTCCAAAGCCCAAGGCCCAGAATGCCTGGAGTCCTGGCCTCTGCAGCACTGTGGTCTGTGCCCACCACCCCAGGCCAGCTTGGCTTCTTGAGTCTGTCCTCTCCTCTCCTGCACTGGTATTTCTGGCATCTTCTACCAGATTCTGTTTCTGTTCTCTCTTTCCCCTTTACCTCCATCTCTCTGCCTCTCTGTCTTCCCCGTTTCCTTGTCACTAACCTGCTATTCATCCCCTTTCTTCACCAGTGTTCCAGTCTGTCTCATCTCACTCACCCTGTATCAGTCTCTACAGCTCATGCTGAGACCCTCGCCAGAGCTTAGCTCATTCTCTGTGCCACTGCCTTCTCACCTTTCAACTCAAGTTCTGGTCACAAGATGCTCCTACTGAGGTCCTGGTCCAAGAAGTGTGTTTTCCTTCATGTTTTTCATGTGTTTGTTCAGTGTGGCCTTCTTGTCCCAAGGCCATAAACAGATTCCTGTTGGTTTCCAATAGTGCTATTGTGTATGGTGTGAAGGGGCAACTGATTACCGCAATGTTGTGTGCTGTATCCTCAGCCCAAGGACCTAAAATGCTACTTCTGCCAGAACTTGAGAGGCTGAGGCAAGAGGAACTTGAGTTCAAGGCCAGCCGGAGCAACACAGTGACACCCTGCCTCAAACAAATGCCACTCTGTCATGTACTCAATTCTGACCCCTTCTCACCATCTTTCCTGTCTCACATTCTTTCCTGTCTGCCTACCTCTGTCCTTTGCTTCACATTCTGTGAGTTTGTCTCTGTGTCCCTGGTCTCCCTGTCTCAAAACCCATCTCCTGAGATTCCTTTGGGTTCCTACCCTTGTTCTGCCTCAGTCTCCCTTCCCTCCCCATCTCTGTCCCCTTTCATCCATCATCCCTCACCTTGGATGAGCTCCCTTAGGGCAGCATAGCGTCGGTTGCGGAGGCGGGTACGCAAGGTGCGGGGCCTGGCAGTGCCCTGCCGCGCCACCTCGGCACAGTAGAAGTCCGCACGGTGGTCTCCACGCAGGTGGCCGAAACAGACCAGGTGCTCCTCTCGGAGGCCAGTGCGGAAGCGTTCTAGGAACACCAGTGGCTTCTCATGATACAGCTGGCCGAGGATGGCCACCTTCTCATGCTCAGTCAGGTCAGGCTCACCCTGCTGTTGGCTGCATACAGGCAAGTGGCTGGCAGCGATGGCACGTAACATGGCACTCACTGCCGGACTCTCAGTCCTGGAGACATCACCATCTGGGACCTTTGGTGTGCTCTGTGCTGCCTTCTCGTCCTTGTCCTGGGATCTGGAGGGGACGGGAGTCCAGCTCAGCTCCCCCCAGTGTGAAGGTTTGGGCTCTGTACAGTCTGTGAGTAAAGGGGAGAGTCTTTTGTTATGGATGGGGCTGTGGCAGAGGAAGAAGGGGAAGAGGTTAGGTGGGAAGAGGCTGGGTGCTCGCACTCAGTTCATTTACTCAGCACCTGAGACGTTCCAGGCCCGACACAGACCACGGTGAACAAATGGCTACTTTTTAATGGAGCACACAAACAATTAATAGCCTAATTACTGAAAATATGATGCATCAGGTATTTCCTGGGCTACATAAAATATAGAGAAAGTGGAGATAATGGGGAGATGGCTGCAACTTTAAATGGAAGGGTCAAAGAAGGCTTGCCAAAACAGCGACATCTGAGTCAAGACCTGAGGTGGTGAGGGACTGAACTTATAGTTTCTGGGGTAAAAGAGTTCCAGAGGGAACAGTCAGTACAAAGGCCTTGGGGCCCAACTCAGCAGTTCAGTTTTCCTTTTCACTTGTCCACACACAGTATTATGAAGACTTTGCTACCTTTTCGGTCATTCACCTACTCATTCATTTCTCCTGTATTTCCACTGCCACCCAATCACTCTTAAGTCTAGGCAAAGCCCTGACCCAGAAGTGTGCAGTGTCCTGGGGAGAAACCCTATAGTTCCTGCCCTCAGAGAGCAGCCAGGCTGATGATGTGGGAGAAGGTCAAGATCAAAGATAATTCAGACAAAAACCAGGGAAGCCAGAAGGTGCAGGGCAGCCTTGGGTGAGAGCTGTTTTACAGGCCTAGAGGGAACTTCAGCAGGCCCACGCAAGCAGGAGAAAAGTGTGATATGTTTAGCTCATTTGGCTGGGATGAAGAGACAGGGATGCTGTCTGCGGGTGCTTTGAGTTTTAGTTGACTGAAGCAAGAGAGGTTGGAGCCAGGGCATGGGGCTGTGCTGATGGAGAAGGGTTAGGAAGATGCTTGCATGGACAAGCCAGGGGGCTGGGGTGCTGGGAAGGGAGGAAGGGAGGGAGGTATTCAGAAGGTCTAGGGCTCTGGCCTAGGGGACAGCCATACAGTTCCTGAGACAGAGACATAGATAAAAAGCAGGTTTGGGCCAGGGGTGGTGGCACATGCCTTTAATCCATGCACTAGGCAGAGGCGGGTGGATCTCTGAGTTTGAGGCCAGCTGGGGTTTTAGGAAGACCCTGTCTCAAAAAGAGTCCCCCCCCGCCAAATCCATCCAAATAAAAATCTAAAACCAAACAAAACCCAAACAACTTGATGGCATAGCTGTGTTTACCTGCAAGTGGGGGTTTGTCACTGGCCCCTAACCAAAACAGTTTCAGAGTGAAAGCCAGGCTGTGTGGGTGGTGGGTGAGAAAACAGTGACTGGGGTTTATGACTCTTTGGAGAAGTCAGAACCCTGGGAAGCACCACAGGGCTGAGGCACATGTAAAAAATTTTCTTTACTTAAAATAAAATATTTTATAGGGGCTGGAGAGATGGCTTAGCAGATAAGACAACTGACTGCTCTTGCCAAAGGCCTGGGTTCGGTTCCTAGCACCCACATAGTGGCTAACAACCATCCATCTATAACTCCAGTTCCAGGAGATCTGACGTCCTTTGCTAACTTTCTCCTGTGTTGCATGACACAGGTGCACTTACATACATGCAGGCAATACACTCATAAAATAAATAAATAAATAGAATTTGAAAAATTATTATTTTAATTTTATGTGTATGTGCATATTGCCTGCATATATGTTAAGTGCACCTGTGTCATGCAATACCCATGCACGTTGGAAGAGGGTGTTGGAGCCCCTGGAACTGGAGTTATAGACAGTTGTTAGCTGCTAAGTGGGTGCTGGAAACTGAACCTGGGTCCTCTGCAGGAGCAGTCTTAACCACCTAGCCATCTCTCCAGCTCCTTATTTTTCTTTTGACATAGGGTTTTGAAATATGACCCAGAGTCTCTTGTAACTCACTCTGTGGTACAGGCTGGTCTTCAACTTTTTTTTCATTTTTCAAAAAGACAGCGTCTTATGTAGCCAAGGCTGGCCTCAAATTCTCTGTAGCTGAGGATGACCCTGAACTTCTGATCCTCCTCTCTCCATCTCCCAAGTGGCAGGATTATAGGCCAGCTCCACCACATCCAGTTTACATGGTGCTGGGGATCAAACCCAGAGTTCTCTGCATGCTAGACAAGCGCTCCAACAACAATCTGTATCCCCAACCCCTGCTGCAGCCTTGAGGGCTGACAGGCCTCCCTCACCATGTCCTGTCCCAGATTTTCTTTTTAGGTTTAGAGGTGTGGCTCAATGGAAGAGAGTGTGGTTAGCATGTGTAAGGCCCAGGGTTTGATCCTGAGAAATAAAAAGTCTAAAAATTTTATTGTGGGATTTTTTTTTTTTTTTTTTGGACAGGCCCTCATGCTACAGGGTCTTGTTTTGTAGCCCAAGCTGGCCAGGAACTATGTAGCTGAGGTTGGCTTCAAACTGAAGGCAAATGTACTGTCTCCACCTCTCAAGTGCTGGGATTTACAGGCATGACCCACCATGCCTGAACACAAAGGCTGAGTACACAGACGCCCCTTCTCACACTCACACACTGGTTCAGTAATTACCAGTGTGTAGTCAGTCAGTCATGGTGTTTCAAACAGCTTCCCAAGTCTACCTCACCCCACACTGATTACTTTGAAACAATGACTTTTTTTTTTTTTTTTTTCAGGTCCTGGAACTCACTATGTAGACCAGGCTGGCCTTGAATTCACAGAGATCCGCCTGCCTCTGTCTCTCAAGTGCTGGGACTACAGGCGTGCGCCACCACGCCGGGCTTTAGCAATAACTTTTTAAACCATATATATTTTATTTTTTGTTATTTTGTGTGTATGAGTGGATTGCCTGCACGTGTGTAAGTGCATCCGTGTCATGCAATGCCTGAGGAGGTCAGAAAAGAGTGTCAGACCCCCTGGAACTGTAAATAGGACGGTTGTTAGCCGCCATGTGGGTGCTGGGAATCGAACCTGGGTCCCCTGCAAGGGTAGTCAGTGCTCTTAACCGCTGAGCCATCTCTCCAGCCGTGAAGCAGTAACTTTTAAGGTGAGCAAGACAAGCATTTTAAAGACGGATGTGGCAGCACAAAGCTGTAACCCAAGCACTCCGGAGGCTGAGGCAGGAAACGGCAAGTTTGAGGCCAGCTTGGCTATATAAAAAGCCCCTGTCGCAAAACAAAACACAAAAGCGATACCAGTGGGACTTCATTAGAGACATGCAAGGCAGAGCAAGGGCAGGCAGAACCGGGCACGGGCTTCGGGGGGCAGAATGGACTGCAGACGCGGTACAATGCAACGGGAGCTGCACGAGGCCTGGAAAGCTCAGGTGGGCACAGGAAGGAGATAATCTGGGAAAGGTTGGTCTGAGGCTGAATGTGCGCAGGGCAGGAAAAATTGTTAACTTGAGAGTCGGCATGGAAAGAAATGAGTTAGGCTGGGACATGGGAAGGGGTTAATTAAGGGAAGAAACTGGAGGGAAAGGTCAACCCTCCACAAGAGAACAATCCGACTCCAAGGTGGACTAGGTGGAGGACAGGAAAGGCTAGGGCCAGACGTCCCCCTAGCGCGCTCAGCGTTGGCCGGACTCTGGCCGGACTCATTTCTTAATCACACCCCAGGAGCACCCTCCCATCACTCCGCCTGCCCTGCTCCTCACCTTCGTCCGGCTTCCTCGCCACCGCTGCGGCCTCCATCCCGCTGCTCCCCGACTTAGCAACCACCGTAGTGGGTTCCGGAAGCTTCGGACCCATAGCCATTTCCGGTTGTGCAAGCCCCACTGGTCCGATGCTCCGTCGCACCTAGGCACCAAAGTTCCGGCTCGAAGGCGGCCCTTCATGCGAATGCGTGTGTCCACGCCCTCAGCAGCCAGAAGTGATGAATCGCCTCCAGCCTAGCCCACCAGAAGGGTCGGTGGTCACCTGTTTGTTCACTGCGGGAACTCCAGGGCAATGTCTGGTTGCGTGACCACCACTCAGAACTGGGGTTTATGCTCTTTTTGTGAGCTCCGGCTGCCTTGGAACTCGCTATAGACCAGGCTGGCCTCGATCCCACAGTGACCCACCTATCTCTGCCCCCAGAGTGCTGGGATTAAAGGCGTGCGCCACCATGTCCAGCCTGCGTTTAATTAAAAAAAAAATATTTGCGAGGGCGCGGGTGTGCAGTTAGGAAACTTGCGGTGAGTGGGTTTTCTCCCCTTTTATCGCGCGGTTGCCGCGACTGAACAGCACTTTGCCCGCTGAGCCGTCTATCTCCCTGGCTCTTACCCTCTCTTAATTTATCACTCAAGGAATATGTATCATCGTTCACGCCCTTCTGTCATCACATTCAGCCTCTGGCTCGCAGGACAGGAATCCAGGGATTGAACTTCCTGTTTCCAGGCCTTGGAGGAAGCCTGCAGATATGGAGGGAGCTGTGGTTGGGTGTCTGTCTGGGAAGCGGAGGGATTTCACATCAGGGTGTCTTCCCAGTTAGAACTGAACCGGCCACACCACTGGCTGGGCAGGCAGGTAGCGAGGGTGGGTCCAAGTTGAGAGCTGGAAGGATTGGCAGGGGTTACGCAGTATCTCAGGCAGGAGGGCTGGCTTGGGCAGTTATTGTTCAGTATGGTCGGGGCATAAGGACTCCAAAGCTGGTGCGTGGTACACGTTTACAATCTCAACACTCAGGAGACCAAGACAAGCTTGCTGTGAGGTCAACCTGGATCACTGGGTTATGCACATCCCACTGGCCAGATGTTCCAGGTAAATACCAACTAGGGCTACATAGCTATATAGACCTAGTCTCAAAAAATCTGGACTTAGTAGCGTACACATGTAATTCCAGCATTTTGGATTGCTGAGTCCAGGGACAGCCTAGGATATTATATTGAGTCTTAGACAGACCTGGGCTATTTGAAAATAAAGTTGGGCGTGGTGGTGCATGCCTTTAATCCCAGCACTTGGGAGGCAGAGGCAGGTGAATCTCCGAGTTCAAGGCCAACTTGGTCTACTACACAGCAAGTTCAAGCCACCTGGGGCTAGAGAGACTCTGTCTCAAAAAGGCAAAAAAAAAAAAAAAAAAAAAAAAAAAGCATTGCATGACACGGGTGCACTCACATACATGCAGGAAATACACTCGTACACATAAAACTAAAAAAGTTCCAAATTGAAGATTATGATTCAGTTGTGGAATATTGAATCCCATACATTTTCAGGCAAAATCCTAAATACATGAACATTTTCCAAGGCAGAAGCTCATGTTGTAAATTCCGAAAGGGATTTGTGCTCTCCCACAAACTATGAGCCACAAGGTCTGGAGTTCACAGCAGGTAGAGAAAGTGAAGCCATTAAGGTCACCAGGTGTTAGGTCACACCGGGCCTAAGCCCTGTTAAATGGCTGGAGTTTTATGGGTGGGGGGATCAGGTTAAGGGGCTGGGGTGATCTGAAGCTGGTGCATAAATCCAGAAACAGACCAGTAACAAGAAAAATCGTATTCTGAGGTAGGAAGATGTGGAAGCAATGGAATCTGCCAGAATCTGGTCAAAACTACCCAACCACATCACCAGGAGTGGCCAGCAGAGGGCACTGCTGTCCAAAAACAGGCACCTCCAGGAGAGGACCCTTCCCTGCATGGAACTGTATGCTCTAGGATGCCTTTTAGGCACCAGCTTTGGCTTCTCCTCTTCAGGTGGCCTACCTCTGGCCTTGAAGTTACTTCCTTCTAGTTTTTGGCCATGTTGGTGATACCTTGGGCTTTGGGAATGCTCTGTAAATAATCTATGAAACTGTATCCCATTTAAAATTTTATGTGTACAAGTGTTTTGCCTGTATGTACATTAAGTGAACCCATGTCATGAAATGCCTGCGGAGGCAAGATGTCTAATCCCCTGAAACTGAAGTTATAGATGTTAACCACCATGTGGGTGCTGGGAACCAAACCTAGGTCCTCTGAAGAAGCACTTAACCACTGAGCCATCTCTTCTGCCCCTTTTCCTACTTCTTAGTGTCTGATGAACTTGGCAACTACATCAGCCTTCTGAGTAATGGGTTATATGCACATGCCACCACACTGGGCTCCTTTTTGTAGTTTGTGCTCCCAGTTCCTAGAAGGGGGCTGGCTGAGGCCATTCTGGTGCCCCACCTGACCAGGTGCTCAGAGGATAGAGAGAACTGAAGGTGCTAAGGAAGGCTGTAAGCTACAGGAGTCCAAACCCAAAGCTTGCTCCTGCTTTATTCCCCTTCCCTGGGAGCCCTCCTACTCCATTACCCCAGAGTCTCCTTACCAACCACTGGGAGGTATCACTGTTGGGTGTTCTCTGGAGGGGGAGCTTGGGAACAGGCACCAGGACTGCCCTGGCAATGCTTAGTGTCCAGGATGCCTGAGGGGTACACATGCTTACCAGCCCAAGGGCTGTCCTGAGTAAGAACAGCACTCAGGCCAGACCTGGTTTCCACCTGTCTGTCTGGCCCTCTGGGTAGACTGTTTTTATTGTGTGAGGTAAAGAACCATTTTAATCATTTGCTTAAATGAATAAAGAACTTCCCCTTTGAAGGCCTCCCACCCAAATTAAAGGCCAACTGCAGTAACACTTCAGGGTCTCAACCCTGCTTCCTTCCTGCTAGGAGGTGCCATGCCATTTATTGAAAGAAAACAAAACAAAACAGGGCAAAACATTTCTTAATAAGTGCAGTTTGTTAAAATCCTGTTAAAACATATGAGTGAAGGGGAAGTAAGAATAATCAAAGAGGCCAACTGTAAAACTTCTGAGGTCTGGCACCTGGAAGAGCTTCAGAGAGGAGGCACGGGGGAAACTTCAGGTTCTAAAGGGAAGGAGTCCCCCAACCCCCACCTTCCCTTTACCCTCTCTCCCACTTAAGCCCCACCAGAAACTACCAAGACGCCTGGAATAAAAGGTTTCAAGTTCAATAGTCACACTCTCTCCAAATACAAAAAGCAGTTACAATTCAACTGAACACAGAAGCTTGTGTGCAAAGTTACGGGGAACTGAGACATCATATAAAAAGTTAGGTTAAAGATGATTTTTTTTGTGTGTTGAGGGTGTCCATCACCTGAACTCAGCAAAGAAATGGTTATTTGATGAAGTATCAATGGCTGACCCACAGTAAAAACAGACAAATTCTAAAAATTAAAAAAAAGCATAATTACCAAAAAAATGTCACTGCTTCCTCCCTCTGCATTTTGCTTCTTAAACTTTTTTTTTCTTTCAGTTTTTGATTTTTTTTTTTTTTTTTTAAATCCTGAAAAGTAGACAGTAAAACAGCTCCTGGAGGAATTTACAACCAACTGCATGAGAGTCTGGGAAGCCGAGGGGCTACAGCAGGGTGAGGAGGGGTGGACAGGCAGGGGTCCTCCCCTCAGTCACTGTGGCCTCGCTGTGTGACCAAGGGAGAAGAGGATTCTTTAGTCAAAAAGGCAGGGAGATGAGGACATGGTGGGAAGTGGAGGGGAGGGGACAAAGAAAAGAAAAGGTCACTGTTGCCTGTTTAAATCCAGAGAAAAAATGCCTGGCCTGTATGGGGGAAGAAGCCCCTCAGATGGGAGTTGGTGGGCTAGAGGGAGGCAGCCCTGGGATGACCCTGTCCCCAGCACCACAGGACCCAGAGGGGATAGAAGGGGCCGAGGCTGGCGCTGGTGGAGGAAGCCGGCGGGGGCCTCCGGGAGCCTCCTGAGACACCGGCTACTGTGTGCTTGTGCCACCCTGTGTGCTGCCGGTGTAGCTCCCATAGTCATAGTTCCCGTAGTATGGTGGCCACTGGCCCTGGTTCTGGTAGTACTGGTTCCACTGCTGGGCATACTGGGGAGAGATCAAGCACATCAAGTTATCACTCAGCCATTCCACATTTGAGCCCTCTTGTGGTTCACCCTCACCCCGGACAGATGGGTGCAGTGACAGCAGTCAACACATGGATCCTCTGACAGAAACAAGGTACTATGGCCAAACAACTGACCTGATGCCACATAAACGGCCACTCAGGGAATACAGCCCTGGTCTCCTGGCTTGTCAATTCAGTGGCCTTTCAGGTGTGGTAGCCTGAGCACCAACGTGGAGCAGCATTTAGCAATCCCTGCCAGTGTCAAAGCAGGACCTGGAGGACCAGCACTAACAGGTCTGCTTGCTGCACTGGCGTAAGTGGACACAGAGCAGTTATTCAGCAGCCAGCACAGATCAGTAGTTTGCCAAACATAAGGGCTGACCAGACAAGTATCAGCTGGAGGCAAGTAGGTTGTCCACATTTCAGGGACAGGCAAGGACTCAAGCTGAGGAATATACCCAGTAATGCCCCTGAAGTTTCACCTGGTAGCCCATCTTGCACTTACCTGCTGATACTGGTTATAGCTGGGCTGAGGGTAAGTCTGTGCGGTGGGGGGTGGTGGTGGGGTGTAGGGGGCAGGATTGTAGGGGCCATAGCTCCCATAGTTGTAGGCAGGTGGTGGCGGAGGTGGAGGTGGTGGGGCTGTGTAGCCCTGGGTGTAGCCTCCCTGGTTGTAGGGTGGCTGGCTGTAACTCGGCTGGAAAGTGGAGAAAAAGACCAAAGTTCTGTGAGACAGACAGCACACAATAGGGGTGGAGGTCAACTGATGAAGGTGTTCCCTGATGGAGGCTGTCTGGGGCTGAGAAGGAGGCAAGTCAGTCTGATGTGGACAGAGTAGGAAACCCCGAGACCACGCTTTAGTCTAGTCTCAGATCTGACACCCTCGGGGAGCAAGGCACACAGCATCTCCTGAAACCCTAGTTTCACCACAAAACAATAACCACAGCGGAAGCAGCTATTCCAATCGTTATGGACATCCAGTAGGCCTGTGTGACAAACGGCTGGGTACTCGAGAAATGCTGGTAGCTGTTACTGTGAAATCATCACTTCTGGGGCTAGTTCCATTAGCCCTGTTATAGAAATGAAAGCTGAGGCTCAAGAAGGTATGGGTGGGGATAGAGAAATGGATCAGCAGTTAAGAGTCGCTCTGCTCTTACAGAGCAGGACTTCAGAACCCAGCACCCATTCTGGGCAGTTCATAGCTGCCTGTAACTCCAAATCCATGGGGATCCGATGCCCCTGGCTTTTCTGGGTACCTACATATGCGCACACATGCCCATACACATGTACATAATTAAAAGAAAAAACTGGGGGCTGGAGAGACGGCTCAGCGGTTAAGAGCACTGACTACTCTTGCAGAGGACCTGGGTTCGATTCCCAGCACCCACATGGTGGCTACGAATCGTCCTTAACTCCAGTTCCAGGGGAATCCGAAGCCTTCTTCTGACCTCCGCGGCACTGCACGACACGGGTGCACTCACATACATGCAGGCAACATACTCATACACATAAAATAAAAATAAAATATTAAAAAAAATCTAAAATAGATGAGGTTGTTGGGCCAAGGTCACAGAGCTAAAAATAACTGAGCCCTGGTTTGCCCAGTCCAGAGACCTCACCATTAAGCTACAGTGCCAACCATCTCACAGAAAACCTCACAAGTGATTTCGTATAAGGTCTTTAACAAATCAGGTCCCTATGGGGCTGGCTTTGAACCTGGTCTTGTCCCACTCCTTTTCTGGGAATAGATCTGGACAGATGGCATCCGGGAAGCACTGATCTGTCTTTGGCAGCTGCTCCCAGGTCTGGCATATAGAAAGTGCTCTGGAAACAGCTATGCAATAAACAGAGACTGCTCTGGTTAGCAGTAACTTCAGTGTACCAGAGTCCAAGATTAACTTTCTAAGAACTAGAACAGAGCCTGGAACTGCTCAGGGGTGAGACTCTTGGCACAAGGAGGGCAGGTCCTTGCCTACCCTGGGGCCCTGGTCTCCCACACTGGGCAACAGGTGACTCCACTGAGGGATCCAGTGAGGCCAGTACACAGAGCCAAGAGACATGATTTGACGGAGGGAGCCAATGCTCCAAGAGGAGGCAGGTAGAGGTGTGGTAGTTTCTGGATAGGGCTGACTTACTCCTGGGTTTGGAGGGCATCTAGCAATGTCTACTATTCATTCCAGCTCAGCCAGGGAAAAGGGAAGGCTGATGGAAGAAAGAAGACCTGTGGCCAAACAATGTGCTAGTAATTCCCTCAGACCCCCTCCTCTCCCCTACATGAGTGCATACATATGTACAAACATATGCATGTTCCCTCACCTGTGGAGGGCTGTAGCTGCTCACGGTGGGGGTGCTGGTATTGGCGCTAGAGCCAGGGATGTTGCTGTTTTTGCTGTAGGTGCTGGCCCCTGGGGGGTTCCGAGCAGGGCTGTAGCTGGGTGGTGGTGGTGGTTGCTGTGGTGGTGGCTGTGGCGGTGGTGGCTGTTGTGGCGGTGGCTGTTGCTGGGGAGCCCGGTTATAGCTGCCTCGGCTGTTAGAGTTGTTGTTATCCCGGTTGTTGTTACCCCAGCGGTTCTGGTTGTAGCCACCACCTCCACTGCGATTGAAACCTGCATTGGAGAAACTCATACACATGAGAGACCTCATCGTTCTCAACACTCAGCCCCAAAAGGCTGGGCTGCTTTAGTACTGCTGTGGCCCCAGCATGGCCACGCCCAGGGGCCAGCTGAGCAAAGTGAGCAAATACAGCACACCAATTGAGTATTTCCAGGTCCCTGGCGCACATCTTTGTTCCTACACTGACAACACCAGATGTCACCTTTTTTTTTTTTCCTTTTTTTTTTTTTTTGTCTTTTCCACTGGACTATGAGCTTGGTTGTATCCAGGATCTCAACAGCTATTCAACAAACTAGAAAGGTGTTTAGGGCATCAATGGGCAGCCACATATGAGCCTCAACAGGCTCAGCAAGGCAAGCAGGTCTCTCCTGAGCCTCTGTGTAGCTGTTTCTTACGCCCGAGACCTTTCCCTCCTTCACCTAACCAATTCCTACTGGGCCTGCAGCATGGTTTTATCTTAGACATGGACTCCTCAGGAGGCCCTTCCTGAGTGCTGCTGTCTTTTTGAAGGCTACCTTTTGAGGTCACCTGAAGTCACAGCACCCTGGTCACTGACATGTTTGTTGAATTTTTTTAAAGCTTTATTAAAGTTGTTTTTTTTTTTTTTGGTCTTTTTAAGACAGGGTCTCCCTATAGCCCCAGCTAGCCTGGAACTCTATGTAGACCAGGCTGGCCTTAAACTCACAGAGATCCACCTGCCTTTGCCTCCCAAGTGCTGGGATTAAAGGTATGTAGTACCACCACACCCAACTTGTAAAGATTTGTGGGTTTGTGTGTATTCCATGTGAGTATGTGCAGAGGACAGAAGAGTGCAATGGACGCTCTGGAAGAACAGCAAATACTTTTAACTACAGAGTCATCTCTCCAGCCCTCATGTTTATTAAATCATGATCACACTACTTCATGGCCAGCAGCGCTTATTAAAACCTGGGCTTTAGATCACTTGATTCCCAGTCAATTTAGCTGGATAATCCTGGGCAAATTAATTGCTCTAAGTCCGTTCCTTCACTTGTTTTTTTGAATTTATTTTTATTTAAAAAAAGTGTATGAAGTGTTTTGCCTGCATGTATGTTAGTGCACCTATGTTGTACAATGCCCACAGAGGCCAGAATAGGGTGTTGGATCCCCTGAAACTAGAGTTATGGGTAGTTGCTAGCTGCCATGTGGGTACTGGGAACCAAATCCAGTGCTCTTAAACACTGAGCCATCTTTCTAGTTCCTTCCTTTTTTTTGGGGGGGGGTCTTTTTTGAGACAGCATCTCCCTGTAGCCCCAGCTGGCCTAGAACTCAGAGATCCACCTGCCTCTGCCTTCCAAGTGATTAGACTAAAGGTATGCGGCACTCACTACATCCAGCTTCATTTGTTTTTAAACCAAAAAGCAGTTCTATAATTTGAGTTTTGCCAGATTCAGAGATGGGCCCCAGCAGTCCTCAAGGAGGAAATGGTCAGATGGTGAAAGATCCACAAACAGGCAGCGGCGCTGTCACGTGCAAAGGGCTTCAGAAGCAGCAAGGCTGGCAGAGTGGGACAGTGGGAACAATCCCTGAGGTACCAGCATGACTCCTGCCAGTTCTGCACTAGGGCCTGGCCCACAGCTGGAGCTCAGCTAGTATCAGGGCTGACCAGAAGCTGTCAACCTGACCCTGACTTTGAAACAAAGGACAAGGAGGTAAATGTCTTACCTCCTCGGTAGTTGCCTCCTCCACCACCGCTGCCACCTCCTCCCCGGTTCTGGAAACCTCCTCGGTTGCCTCCAGGAGGACCTCGGTTGTCATAGCGCTGGAAACCACCGCCACCCCCACGGCCTCGGAAGCCACCACCTCGGTTGTCAAAGCGCTTTTCAGGGGGTGGGCCAGCCTTGCGGCCTTCCTCATTGTACTGCCTCACCAGCTTGTCTGCTTCTTCCCGCTGAAGTTCAATGAACAGAACCTCATCCAGGAAGTCCCCCACATCAGGCAATGTGAAGTTGGCTACAAGGAAGGAAGAGAGAGGAAGTCAGTATCTTCTGACACCTGGTCCCCTTTACCCAGACACTGGCCTGTCAGAGTAGGAAGGTGGAGGGAACTGGAGTAGTGAATGAGACAGGTTAAGATGGGGCCCCAACTTCTTAATAACTGCCAAGGGCTAACAAAGACTTTTCTCCCTTTACCAAAGAGTTGTTCTGATTTCTCCAGCCTCACTTCAGGGAGGTTGTGTGGCAAGAGAAAACACATCTCCTGAGCAAACTGAGGCTTGCCCAGCCAGTGGGTGCCAGAGGCAGGAGGTGGTATAGGCCTTTCAGCTGGGGATCCTACACACCCTTGGTCATGCCACCCAGTCCCATCTAGTCTGAAAATTCTTCCCTAGACTGAGACAGAGAGCCTGGCCCCTCACAAATGTGGGAGATGGGAGAGATAAAATAAAAAAACAAAGGCAAAGACCACAGACGGAATCATCAGGGAGTTGGGGGGACCCATAGTAAAGAGCTCTTTCCCTTGAGGACCTTGGTGAGCTGGTCCTCTGGGAGCCACCTGTTTCCTACCTTTCATTTCTAAGACCGCATGATCTGGGACATCTTTCCCTTCTTCGTCAGTTCGCTTTATTGTTCGGTCTTTTAAGTCTTCATCAGTTGGACAAATTACAATAGCTTTCCGCTGAAAGCCTTCAAATGGTCTCATTTTTCGTCTCTGGGCTGACCCATAAACATTTGTCTAGGAGTAGATAAAAGAGCAAGAGATGGGCTATGCAAAGATATTTTCCTGAGGGGCATTATGTAGGGCAACCATGAGAGAGGAGGGAAACAGCACTGCTTCACTTCCACAACTCGTGCCACCTCAGCAAATGGAGTGATTTAGCAAAGGGGCTCCTGACAGGCATGGGTGCACACCCCATGGCGCAGCTCCCCTCGATCCCATTTGTTACCAGTACTGTACTTTACAAGTCCTTTCCCCTGTTCTAAAAGGATTATGTGCCTGCAGCAAAATATTCACAGTACAAGACATAAAGTTTAGACTAAGAACCTCTCCAGCCACCTAGTACCAGCAATGTTTCAGATAGCCTACTGAAATCTGCACACTTCTGAAAGTACTTTCATGTTGCTTTACATGAACAGGAATTCTACTGTACATAACTCTACTGAACTCAATACTCCTGCCTTAGCCTCCTGAGTGCCAAGATCACAGGTGTATGCTGCTGTGCCCAGTTCTAAGCTCTTTTGTAGGCTTCTTCTGTCCAGTTTTTTCTCTCCCTTTTTAAGTCAATAGCTGGAGAGTTATCTCAGTGGTTACACACATGGACTGCTCTTGCAGAAGACCAGGGTTTGGTCCCCAGCACCCACACGGTGGCTCATAACTGTCCGTAGCTCCAGTACTAGGGGATCTGATGCTCTCTTCTAGCCTCCGCAGGCATTGCATGCATGGGTACACTTACATAAATGTAGGCAAAACACTTAAGACACATTAAAATATTCAATGGATAGACCATAACCAACCAGTCCTTTTGACAACTGTGTGAACGGTTTCAGTCAACACTGTAGACCTTCTATTCCCCAGATCCTCTGAAACATTGCTTCCCCACAAGTTTCTAACCAGAGAGCTTGAGGTGACAGCCTGTGCTTTTCCTAAGTGCAGTTGGCTACTCCTGTGTTTTCCTTGGTAGGCAGCTGTCTCCTAGGCAGGTGCTGGCAGGGAGCACTGCTCCAGAATATATGAATATGACTGAACAGTAACATCTGCTGACTCAATACCTCCCATGTGCCAGTCAGGTCCTTTGCCAGGTATGGTGAGGATTAAGTGAGAGGATGAACAGATAGTGACAGAAAAAGCATAAAGAATTATTGAGTGGGGGCCATGGGGCAGGAGATGCCTTGACAAGAGGTAGAACCTGGCAGACTCTGGCTCTACCTTAGAGTTTCAGTTTGTTACTCTTCGAAATTAACTTACTGGGGTACTAAGTTTCAAGTCCTGTGAGAGGAAAACAGTATTAAAGCCTTACGTTCAATGCTGTGAGGACAGAATGAGTTCGTGTGAACTAAGGCTCCTATGTCAGTCTGGGCCCTGGCTTACTGCCAACACTTAACAAATGTGAGCCACCATTAATATAGTAGTCACTGGGTGGGGTGCTGTGGATATTTATATTGTGCTGTTGACTCGAAGCAACACAGACCAAAGGGAAAGGTTAAGGTGCAGGGATCTCTCAAACGGAAAGACATGGACAGTGAAACAGGGCAGGCAGAACAGACTTTGGGGGAGAAGCTGCATGCTGAAATCCCAGCGGTGCCCTTCAGAATTTGAGTCTGCAGACAAGTCCTCTAATTAGTCTGAGTCTCAAATTTCATCTGAAAAAAGGGGAGCATGTCCCCCCTCCTGCTGGCTCTGGTAAGGATTTTCAGATGTGAAACACTCTGGCATGTGGCAGGGAAAGAAGCCAGGACACAGGGTGAATCTGAACATATGGTCAAGGTGTCCTAGGAGAGGCTTCCCAATGCAAAACACCCAGGAAAAGATGAAGTGCAAGGGATCTTCTTCCAAGATGCTTCGAAGCGCTGGAGGCTCCGGCAGACTGGTAGAGTTGGGCTGTAGGTGCAGCTGTTCTGGTCCTTAATCAACCAGATCCCTGGCCCTGGCCTATGTGCCAGGCAGAAGAAATGTTCTTCCCTACCCTTGGAAATTCCTGAAGGAAGGACAGTAAAGGGTGGTAGGTACACACGTACTGCTACTGTGGTCTAGCGGGAAGCTTAGATAACAAATGATTTCAAAGGCCACAGGTTACAGTTACAGAGGGAAAAGCTAAGTCCCTGCTATTACAACTTCTCAACTCCTTCCTAAAAAGTGAGGCGTTCAGCTGGGCGTGGTGGTGCATGCTTTTAAGCAGCACTCAGGAAGCAGAGGCAGGTGGGTCTCTAAGATCGAGGTCAGCTGGTTTATACAGGGAGCTCCAGGTCACACAGGGTTACACAGTGAGACCCTGTCCCCCAAAAAAGAAGTGAAGCATTTGGTTGTAGGAAGACACAATTTGGCTTCCTTCAGCAAAATAATCAAGTTTCCTTTCAGCACAAAAGACAAGGTAGGTGAGCATCAGGGTGACTGTGGCTCCACACCATTCTGCTGTTTACTCAGTCCACTCTGTTTGATGCCTGCAAATGATCCTATTTTGACTCCTCTGAACTCTGAGGTATGGATGAATGCATCCTATGGGTTTTCTTTGTGCCACATCTGCCCTGTCAAAGTCCCACTGAGAGGACAGAGAAGAGAACACCACTGCCAACAGGGCCAGTCTCTAACCTGACAAGAGAAGGAATGAGGGTGTAGGAGACTGGACTTGTAAGTAACTGGCCTTTGCCTGGGATGAGTTGTGACTGAGGCATAGGTGCTTGGGAGCTGAAGTGGTGAGGAGCCCTTTCTGGACAAGTGTGTTTCCCCTGCTTTTTCCTTGGCTGGGGAAGGGAAGGGGGTCATGCAAATGCCTGGCTTTCCTGGAGGAAAGGGAATTAGCTGCTAGTGGCTGTTACCACAGCAAACACAATGAGGTCAGAGCCCTGGGGCGAGCCCTGCACTGCTGTGGTCACTGGGGGCCCTGTGGCTATTGCTAGGAGACAGGAACAACAGCGAGGTCAGCTTTTCCAGGCGTGTACGTTGCTGTCCATTCCTGCTCTGCCCAGTCCCACACTATTTGAAGATGTCAGCTGTAAGACAGAAGCTGGGCCGGCTGTGTTCTCAGACTCCTGGCTCCAGGACCACCTCCAATCACAGAAAGCAGGCAGAAGGGTGGGAGATGGGTTTCTCAGGGAAGCTGCTGGGCTAGTTTTGATGTGTGGCAGACTGAGGGAGTAAGAAGGACATAGCTGGCACAGGCAGTAACTTCTGACACTCTGAGTTCTTTGAAAGGCCCACTGTCTGACTCTGTCCACTCTCACTTGTCACAGGTCAACAGGGCCAGCCTGGCAGCGGGCAAAACCTAAGTAGGTACCAGAGGAACAAACCTAAGACTGGTAGGGAAAGTGCGCTTTGGGTCAAGTGAGGTGAACCCCAGTGGAAGGAACTACATGTGTAGGAAGAGAATTGGCCTGAGTGCCAGGAATGGAACGGGCTCTAGGCTTTGGAGACAGCGGGGGTGGAGGAAGCAAACTTCCTTTTCTCCAATGCATGCTAACAAGAAGCAGTTTCCTCTGGGCCTCTACTCTAGGCCTGGGTTTGTTTCAGGCAAAGTTGTGGCACCCGCCAACAGAGACACAAGTAGACCTAGGACCAAAAGGTTTTTAAAGTAAGACTAGGCTGGCAAAGGTCCTATGTAGCCCTGACTGGCCTAGGCTGTGATACCCTCCTGAGGGGACTTCAAGACTAAAGCCCCCAGCTCCAGGAGGTTTGGACAATTTTGCTGTCTCACAGAAAACCAGCTCCTACTGTGTAACCAGTGTTCAAGGCCTTCTGTTAGACTAGGGACAGGCCAGAAACCTCATCCCAGTGGCTTTCCACCTGTAATGGCATCACCTGAAGCCACGTGGCTTTCCTCCTCCTGGGGGCTTTCAGTGGCCGGGTACTTTTAGCCACCCCAATGCAAGTAGTTGTGTTCCACACTGCCCGGTGGACAAAGCCCCAGGTCTTTCATCCTCTAGACCCGGGACCACCTCCTTCTCTAGTTCCCTTCACAGCCCCAATCACCAAGCATTTGGCCACATGGAAAGCCACCAGGACACAAACTGCCTGACTTTAGGATAGGCTCCGTCCCCTTATGAGGTCCCCATTCCCCTTTGGTCTACCATCTTTTATCCTTTTTTCTTCTCTGATGTTCCAGATAGTTCCCTCTGATGCTCACAGACTATCTTAAGAGGCTGATCAGGGCATTATGGAATGAGAGCTTGTGCCTATGGGATACATTTTAGTGTAGTACTGGTCTCCAACATATCCCTCATTGTTATAGTTCATAGGATAGGTAGTACAAGGATTTGACCAGGGCTTGCTCTGAAACTTCTTTGCCCACATTCACATAATATTCTCTTTCTGGAACACACTTTTGGGGTTTATGATAAAACAGTAAAAACCACTGGCTTTAAATTCCCTTCCGAGGCCTCCCTAACCTAGAGCTTCACACCGACTCCATCCATGGGCTAACCATAGGAACCCTCCTCCTCACCTTCAGAGGTTAGGGGCTTTTACTTCATGGATGGTCTGGATCATATGGCCTGATCTGCACATCCCTTTGTTAGGCTAGCAGCCTGGAGACCGTAAGCAATCTGGTGCAGCCCAGGCTCTGGCCCCGAACAAGCCAGTATCAGATAGGAGGCTGATAGCATTCAGCTCTACACGCCCGGTTGACCTGTGGGGACCTGGCTTGCACAAGACCCAGACAGACCTCCTAGACTAAAATGGCAGACAATGTGCCATGATTGTAACTTCCACTGTTGGGCTGATTTGGCCAGAAAAAATTAGAAAAGGACAGCTAGGGAATTCTTTCTACAGAATCCAAAAGAGGGTCCTTAGGGTATTAGTACCATCGCTTGACCTTTCAGAACAGTTAAATCCAACTGTGCAGAGAAAAATTCCAAGAATGGTCTGACAAGGAAAATGGGGCAAAGTGAGGCCAGAAGGTGAGGTGTGGGGAGGGCGGCTGAAAATATAGCTTGGCTGGCATTTGCCTGCCATTCCTAAGGCCCTAGGTTTAATCTACAGTATCAAAACCATAACCAAAAAGCCCCCAAAACCAAGACTAGTAAGGCCAAGGATCTCCAAAGAGAGACAGATGGGTGGATTCCTTACTGATGAGTTTGAACACCCACAGATGGCTTCTGTACTGTCCCCAATAGTTCTGTGTAAGATCTTCAACCCATGTGAAGGCAACATGGTCTTTGGAGATTTTCTTCCCAACAGGCCACCATTATTACCAGTTACTAACTCCAATTATCAGGACCTCTGAACACATAGCAACCAAGTAGCTGCCCTACACATACGGAAGGCACTGCAGTAATACTACAGGGCAGGGTTCTACTATGGTGACACATTTGCTAACTTAAGAAAGCAAGAATGCAAGGTTTATTCACAGATCCACAAGTAGAGAAAATAAACACCCACTGATACCTGATGAAGCCTTCAGAACAAATGTCAAGTGTAATGCTGCATAGCCAACAAATGTTTGGAACTCGTTAGTCTGAAACAGGGATTCTAAACTATTTTTAGGTCACCCTTCCTTTTGACAATACTGAAAACCATGGAAAATTTTCTTATCCCAACTCAAAATTGACAAACCCTACCCTCCACTGAAATGCAGGTAGAAAATACCATGACTTAGAAATGTGCTTCCCAGTCATATACTCTCCCCAAGAGGCTGGAACATCCCTGCTCCTCAGAGTTATGTGCTAGGTTCTGTAGAGGTTTGTGGTGGTACTAGGCTCTCCAATTTGCAAATCAGGATACTGAGGCTCACAGGAAAAAGTTAGCTGCCCACAAATGTGCAGCTAGCAAGTGGCAGAGTTGGAGCTCAAGGCTCAGGAATCTATGTCTCTTTCATATGGCTATGTGGCTCTTGTCTAAGAATGTTTCTGAGGGCTTGCTCACTGAGTCTGAGCTAGTAGGCATGGATCATGGTAGCAAACTTTACCACAGTCTGGGCTCAAATAGCTGTGTTGTGTGAAAGGTCTTGTAGCTTCATGTGTGGTGGACCCCACCAAGCACAGCTACTGTAGAGCATTATGGAGAAACGAGAACCAGAGAGGAATTCCCATGCATTGACTAGGTCCCCTACCTGATCTAGAATATAGTTGCGTTTCTTGCGGGCAGCGATCTGGATGAGGCGGTTGAGGCACTGAGTGGCCTGCTGGATCAGGACATCCCAGCGACCAGCATAGTTCCGTTGCCGGCGCAGTCCCATCACCTGTGGGCAGGAGGAGGTAATGAGAGACAAGTGGTTCTAGGGGAAGGGCAGAACACAAGAGCTGGGAGGTGGGTAAGGCAAATTTACCAGTGCCCCTTACCCGCATCTTATCCATGATGGCATTGGTACCCAGAATGTTGTACTTCTTGGAAGGGTTGGAGGCTGCATGTTTGATGGCCCATGTGGTCTTGCCGGCAGCAGGCAGGCCCACCATCATTAGAATCTACAAGAATAGGATAGGGAAGGTGCTGTGAAACAGCAGCAGCATGTGGCATGGTGGCATGGTACCACCCTGGCCTGAAGATGCCCATAATGGGGACTCTGAGTTTCCTGGTTGCCTCTGGAAAATGGAAGTAATAATAGTGTCTATCTCAGTGTTGCTGTTGTGAGTCAAAGACATAAGGCTTGTCAGATTCTGAGTAAGGACCTGGCACAGGGTGAGCACTAGGTCAAGCCCTGCCAACAGCATTTATTCTTTTGTTCAAGAAGGATTAAGCAGCCTTTGGCTCAGGAAAACCATGAACTGAGAATTAGACCATGGAGGGGTATGAGAAGTGAGACAGCCTTGGAGTCTGAAGTGGGGGTTAAGCTGTAGTACCCAAGGTCATGAATTCCATTTACTCAACATATTTACAATTCAGCAAACACGAGATATAACCTAAATGCATAATGAAGGGATGATTAATTTCTGAGGCCATTAAAATGTTAAAGGCCTCGTATGATGGCACACACCTATAGTAGTAGCTACTTGGGAGGCCAAGCAGGCGATCACTTGCCTTCTGGAGGTGTTTGTCTCATGAGTGTTACCTTTGCATTGTTTCATTCCTTCCAGTGCCCCACCAACTCCTCCAATGTTTCCCCACTTCCTCTCAATTTCTTGTCCCCTTCTTTATCACTGTTACATATATACAGACATTTACAAATATGTGTGCACGCACACACAATAAGTGTGTACACAACACAAAATGTACTAAATCCATTTAGTGGTACCCGTGTGTACCTGTGTTTAGGGGTGCCCATTTCAGATCTCTTAGGGAACTAATCCCTAGAGAAAACTGATTCTCCTTCCCTCAGCATCCACTGATTCCCTGTAGCTCTTGAGTCCAAGAGTTTCAGCCCAGCCTGGGTTAACAACAGTGTGACTATTTCAAAATGTATAAAGGGAGATTTTCATGTGGTTGGATATAACACAAAAAATATTGACTAAATAGAACAGTATTATCAAACTGCTTGTCATCTCAATTATAAATAGAGAACCTAAAAAATAGGATAAACTCCCAAATTTTCAAGTCAATTTATTTGCAAGCAGAAGAATTATACGAAATAAATACAAACCACTTATAAGAAGTATCTTAAGAAAAAGAGTCCTAAGCACAGCAGTTGGGAGGCTAGGGCAGGAGGACTGTCATGAATCGGAGGCCAGCCTGGACTACAGACTCACTTTCTCTCTCTCTCTCTCTCTCTCTCTCTCTCCCCCTCACACACACACACACACACACGGAAAAAAAAAAAAAAAGAAAGAAACCAAGGTCATCAGTAGCTGTACTACTGAGGCCAAGGCCATCTGCCTTATTCTTAGGCCTGAGTGGGAGGTAGAACTGGTCAGCCCTCCCTAAGAACACTGGGGACCAGAGTGCACTCAGCAGTTCCTGGTGTACCTTTCTGCTATGAGGAAGTCATCTTTCCTCCTATTCTGGCGTTGCTGAGGAGCAGTGTGGTTACTTCCTTGTGGAATCTCACCTTACTGTCAAAGCAGCTTTTTAACTCCAATCCCAACCTTAAGGAGCTGGGACAAAGAGGTCTCTTGCCCCAAGTTTACTTGTGGTCAATTTGTGTTCTTTTCACCACACACAGCTACACACATCACACAGTGTCTCCCCTCTGCCTTGGGTAGCTCTGGGGGGAGAGGCCACCAACTCAGTCTTGTGGTCCCACTCACCTCACATTCTGCTTTGCTCTTTGGTCCAATGGTGCCCCGGATCCGCTCACTAAGGGGAAGGTGCTGGATGAACGTGAACCCTGGGAGAACGGAACAGTAGGGCTCTGCCCTCTGTCCAAAGTTGAACTCCACAGCACAATTCTTCACCAGGACATGAGGGTAGAGGGCCTGACCCCCTAAGGCTTCTTTCTGGATTCGGAAGGCAATACCCATCCACTTCCCATTCTTAGTAAAGGAAAGTTCCACATCACTTCCACATTCAAAGTCCTAGAAGAAAGAAAGAGCCAAGGATGAGCTAGGTATGGTGGGACACATCTGTAATCTCAGCATTCAGAAGGCTGGGGCAGGAGGATCATGAGACTGAGGCCAGTCTGGGTTTCAGAGTGAGATCTTGCCTTAAAAAAACTACATCAGAAACACATACCAAAGGATAATAATCACAAAGTTTTAGTTTAGGGCACTGGAAGCCACAAGTGGGAGAGCTGATGCAGCAGGTAAAATGGCCGTTTTCCTAGACTTCAGTGCATCCATTCTAATACACAAACAAGCCAGGCAGCATCAGGAACAATTCAGAAGTCCACACCAAACCCCACGTTACTCAAGTTCTGGAAGCTGGTGGACATGAAATAATTTTTAAGAAGTTTCACATATCTGAGTCTTGTGCCTAGGATGAGATAAGGATGAAGGAAAAGGTAATCCTGCTTTGTTCCTCAAACTGACAAGGGCAGTCTACAAAGATAAAGAGATGAAGGAAGCCAGTGAGGGTCTTTTAAAACCAAGTCCAGCTTTATAGATGTATCTATTTGTTTTACAACATTCCTCAAGTTCTTATGCTTTTCCTGGTACACATCAGTGTTGATTCGAGCCCCAGAGTTCAGAAATCAGTAAGGATTCTCAATATGGTATTTAGTAAGAATACATACAAGTTTTTCTGAGGGAATCAGTAAATTAGGTCCTGAACAATAAATGACAAGCCAAATTAGGGAATGGGAATAAAGTAGTCTGCATGTATACAAAGCCAAGTGGTAACAGAATACAGGCCAGGTGGCCTGATACATAAAGGATGGGTAATCTCAATCAGAAGCAGGGTTCGTTCGTTCATTCATTCATTCATTCATTCATTCATTCAACTGTTTACTGAGCTGCTAAAGTTTACTGCATCCTATTCTGTGTCCTTAGGCAAATTATTCGATCTAGTTTCTCTATAAAAAACAAAGGGTGTGCATGTTCTTTTATCCTACACGATGGCATTTAACACACAGTGAACACATGTTGGATTTAAGCTCTCACTTCAAGCTGCTAGGCACTGAGTTAGGCTGGAATGGTACAGGAGGAGCCATGGCCCCTGCTCAGGCTCAGTTTAGACCCAATGCTGATGGTGGAGTAGAGCACTGACTTGTTCTGAATAGAGTAGCCTGGCTTTAAAACAGCGCTCCAGAAGATTGCATCGGCTGCAGGGTTACAGTTAAGCCTCACAACTTGGGATAAAACAGCACACTGAAACCAAGTGCAAGTTCTAGTTTCTAACAAAGTACAAGGTATTGTATTATTTCTCTCTACAATCAGACCATTTAGGCTTGTCCCTCAAGGACAAACGGAGGTATCCTTTCCTGAAGAGCTCCTTCAGTACCCTCTGAGTGCCACCAGAGACCAGCTCTCTATCAGAATCTTTATGTCTGTTCGTTCCTAACATGTGCATAGGTCAGACACACCAATATAAGCCCAAATGAATCCTTCCCTGAGACCAGCAGTGCAGTCCCTGCTGTGTCTTCCCACATGAGGGCAAGTGGTCCCAGTCACTTTTGCTCTGACATGAAACGAACACTGTGGATGTCAGCCTGTCTTGGCCATTAGCTTTATTATAAGAACTCACCACAGTGCAGAGACCAGCATCCACAGCTGACAAATCTACCGCCCACACAGCCATGTGTCCAAGAGGCAAGCGTAGTTGGGTAGCACTTGTTAAAGACACAAACTCCTCTCACACCTTTGTCGTCCTCGAGGCTCCAACTATTCTACTGCTTACTGTCTGCTAAAATGGGGTATCAGCTCTCCACTTGGGAAGCTGTTTGGTCCCTTTTGTTTTGCCGACTGAGAACTGACAGAAACACCCTCCCTTCTGTTCCCCTAGGCTACTAGTGTTTACACTTCAACCCCCTACTCTAAAATCAAGGCATTCTTTAATCAAGGGAAACTGTATATGGTGTCTTCTTCTTTTTTTTTTTTAATTTTAAAGCAGAGTTGGAGTCTATTAAGGAATATTTACATCTATATTTAAGCATGGGGGTTAAGGGAGGCATGCTCAGGAAAAAGGCAGTTGTATACACAACCTAGAGGGGGAATGGGCTTCTCAAGAGAAAGTCCCCTGAAGCTGGCACAGTGCACCTCACATGAAATCCCATTTCTTGGGAAGTAGAAGCAGGAGGATCAGAAATTCAATCTCATCCTCAGCTACAAAGTGAACTTGAGACCCTGTTTCAAAAAGTTAGAAACAGTAAGAACAGTAACAGAAAGAAGTCATTTGGAATCTTCAAACTGCAGTAGAAATGACCTGGTAGAAGCCAGAATCAAACCCTAGAGCCCTGTACTGCCACATGCCTGTGAACCCCATGCTCTGAACAAACAAGGTTTAGATAACATGGTCACACACAGATAACAAGCTAAACCACTTGCAACCTTCTTGAAGTACAGTCCTAGTGATAGTCAGCCATCAAAATTTGAAAATACAAGGTTGATGAGATAGCCTTGCTGGTGAAGTGATTACCAATGAAGCATACGGATCTAAGTCTGAATCCCCAGACCGCAGGTAAAGGCCAGGTAGCATGCATCTTTAATTCTAGAGCTGGGATGGTAGAAACAGGAAGATCGCTAGAGCTTGCTGACCAGCTAATCAATCTCACCAAATTGGTAAGCACCAAGTTCAGCTGAGAAACACAGTCTCCAAAAATAAGATGGATGACAGGCATGGTGGCACATGCCTTTAATCACAGCCCTTGGGAGGCAGAGGCAGGTGGATCTGTGAGAAGGAGGCCAATCTGGTCCACATAGTGACTTCTAAGCAGGCAGCGACTAGGGAGACCCTGTCAAAAAACCAAAAACAGAAACCAAAAACAAAACAAACAAACCACAACAAAAATAAGTAGTCATGCATGGTGATGCACATCTTCGATTCCAGCACACTGAGGCAGAGGAAGATGGCTCTTTGAGCTCAAGGCCATCCTGATCTATATAGCAAATTCTAGGCAGCTAGAGCTATAGATAGACCCTGTCTCAAAAAACGAAATATAACAAAAGGTGGAGTGACAGAGGCAGACAGCCAGCATAGACCTCTAAATGACCTATGCAGACAATGGGAAATTGTCAGGCTAAATTAAATGAATAAAAAGCTAGAAGGTTTTGAAGATTGTAGAGATAATTCTTGTTCAAAAATGTCTTTTTTAAGGTCATGGGACTGGAGAGATGGCTTGGTGGTTAAGAGCACTGGATGCTATTCCAGAGGACCCAGTTTTGATTCCCAACACCCACATGGTCATTAACAGCCATTCGTAACTTCAGTTCCAGAGGCTCTGACACCCTCTACTGGCCTCTGAGGACGTTGCACGACATGGGTGCACTTACATGCAGGCTCAACAGTCATACACATAAAAATAAATTTAAAAAAATTAAAAGGTCATAAAATACATAGGACAATGCAATGCAATACAGTCCTGGATCAGGTGCTGAACCACAAACTAAACTGCACTAAAGGATATACATCATTGGGGCAACTGGCAAAATTTAAATGTGGGCTCATAGCAGACACATAGATAAGGTACTATATCAATTTCACATTTGATAAATGTACCATGGTTAAGATAGCAGACTTATCCTTAAGAAATATACTTTTGATCCCAGAACTCAGCAGGCAGAGGCAGGCAGCTCTCTGAGGCCAGCCTGGTCTACATAGAGAGTTCTAGGCCAGCCAGGTCTACATAGTGAGACTGTCTCAAAAACAAACAAAACAAAAATATATACTGAAATATTAAGGAATAGAGATAGGACATATGCAGACTACTCTTTATATTATTAATATTATTATTATTATTATTTTTTTTTTTTTGGCTTTTTTGAGATAGGGTCTCCCTGTAGCCCCAGCTATCCTGGAACTCACTAGACCAGGGTGGCCTTGAACTCACATAGATCTTCCTGCCTCTGCCTCCTGAGTGCTGGGATTAAAGGCATGAGCTACCATGCCCGGCTGCAATCTACTCTTAAATAAAAAAAGTTTCATAAACCACACATGAGCGCGTGCACACATGCAAGCATACAGGTACAAGGCCCTAAAGAATCTTTTTCTAGTATGGAGTAGGAGTGTCATTTTCCTTTGTATATGTTTTTATTTTCTTTTTCGAGAGGCTCATGCAGCCCAGGATAACCTCAAACTTACTAATTAGGTTAAAGATGACCTTTAACTTGTGATCTTCCTGTGCTCAACTCCCAAGAGCTAGAATTATAGACATGTACCCAATTTTATGCGACACTGGGGATTAAACCCAGGGCTCTGTGTATGCTAGTTAGCACTCTTACCAACTGAGCTACATTCCTAGCCCTCTGTAATTTGAAACTATGTCCAAGTTAAAAGGAGTGCACATGCACAACATGAAGGGAAGAGACTAAGACCACGAGGAAGCATCCTCTGGGTAGCCACTTCCTCTGGGGTCCTCGTGAAGCATTTCATAAAGGTGCCCTACAGTTAGTAACACCAACTGTACTGAGGGGTACCACTGAGCATTTCTGTGTCACCCATTACTGTAAGTGCTTATAATGGGTTAAAAACTCGACAGAAAGGGTGGGGACAAAGATTCTTACTAGAAGATACTGAAAGACAGGAAGTTGTCTGGGGCTGTGAGTGGCAGAGCAAGAACTGGGCTCAGTGAGTCTGGCCCCAGAGCTAAAGCCATTACCTAGTGTTTGTTGGTCACTGTTCTCTAGAATGAATGCAGTACACAGAAACCTCTGTCTCACTCTATCTTGCATCTGTTTCTGCTCTTTCAGAAGGCAGCACATTGTAGAAACTCAGCTCAACTACCATGAAGGGAAGAAGTGGGAATTTCGATAAGGTGATGCCCATGTGGAACAAGAGCCAACAATGCCATTAAAAGCACATAGGCAGCCAGGCATGGTGGTGCATGCCTTTACTCCCAGCACTTGGGAGGCAGAGGCAGGTGGATCTCTGAGTTCGAGGCCAGCCTGGTTTCCATGGTGGATACAGGACAGGTGGGGCTAGAGGGAGACCCTGTCTCAAAAGGACAAAAAAAAAAAAAAAAAAAAAAAAAGGCAGATAGGTTATTTCCTAACAAACAAAGGAAAGAAATTCCTAGGTTTGATTAGAAAATGTCACTCTGGGGCTGGGAAGATGGCTCAGAGCAAGTACTGCTCTCCCAGATAATTCAAGTTCAGTTCCTAACACCCACATCAGGTAGCTCACAACTGCTTGTAGCTCCAACTCTAAGGGATCCAACACCAGCGTCTGGCCTTTGCAGGCACCCACGCTCATGTGGCAGATATACACTCACATGAATAAAAATAAAAATAAATCTTCAGGGGCTAGAGAGATGGGTCAGCGGTTAAGAGAACACTGACTGCTCTTAGAGAGGACCTGGGTTTGATTCCTAGCACCCACATGGAAGCTAACAACTGTCCATAACTCCAGTTCCAGGGACTCAATGCCCTCTTCTGACCTCTGTGGGCATTGCATGATATGGGTGCACTTTTAAAAAAAAATTTTACTTATTATGTTTATTTTATGTATATATGTGTGTATTGCCTGCATGTAGGTAAGTGCACCATGTCGTGCAATGCCAGTGGAGGACAGAAGAGGCTGTTGGATCCCAGCCTCTGAAACTGGAGTTACGGACAGTTGTTAGCTGCCATGTGGGTGCTGGCATTCGAACTCGGGTCTTCTGCAAGAACAGCCAGTGTTCTTAACTGCTGAGTCATCTCTCCAGCCCTGACTGGGTGCACTTATACACATGCAGGCAATATATTCATACACATGAAAGAAAAATAATAAACAAAATATTAAAAAACAAGAAGTTACAGGAATTACTGAGTTATATGGGCTTCAGCTGCGGGGGCTACGGGTGGGTGCCATTGGGGACAGGGGTATAAAGATAATAAAGATTGAGACACTCTGTATGAAATACCTGAAAAATTCAATGAAAAAAAAAAAAAAAGCTCCCAACTGGCAGCTCCATGGTACCCCATCTCCAGACGTCTGTTTCTAATAGGAGCTCTGCCTTCTTTATCTCGTGAACTCCCAGCATTGAATCGATAACAAACGTCTCCCTAAAACTCATTCTCTGTGACCCATGAACTCATTTTTGAATTTGAAGGACAAGATCTCAACCTGAAACCCTTAGCTACACCATCTATAACAAGAAGAAAGGTCTCTGTGGAATATAAAGGCACCCCAGGACTTCCCATATCAATACCTAAGGAATTTTACCAATCAGGCTAGCCTCAACTTTTGCTTCAAGCAGAACAGTTTAACAGTTACCCTATTTACAGCTAGAAATGTAAGATAAATTTCAATGCGTATCAGTTTTAACACAATGCTAACTCCTTCCAACAATGGTATCGATGAAGAAAGTCACAAGAAGACAACCTGAATCAGAGGTGTCCCATTCTCAAGTGTCCAGAGAAGTTCTTGAATCTGCACATCTACACTATCTATGCTGCATCTGGGGTGGCTAAACTGGAGCCTCGTTTTTGTCAAGGGTGGCTTCCTAATGTGGCTAATGACATCCTAAGTTTCAAACATGCCTCAACACCTGAAATAAAAAAGCAAGTCCTCTTTCAAAAAAAAAAAAACAAACAAACCAAAAAACCAAGAAGTTACTCTAGTGACAGTGAATAGGAGGAGGTTGTATACATCTAAAGCCCCCAAATATCTTTGTGGTGCCATCTGATTGCCCTGCTCAAAAGACAGAGGGTCAAGAATGGCAGAAAGCTGGGGCTGGAGAGATGGCTCAGCGGATAAAACTGACTGCTCTTGCAGAAGACCCGGGTTCGAATCCCAGCACCCACATGGCAGCTAACAACTGTCCATAACTCCAGTTCCAGGGGATCCGACAGCCTCTTCTGTCCTCCGCAGGCATTACATGCATACACATAATAAATAAAATATTACAAAGAAAAAAAAAACGAATGGCAGAAAGCTCACATAAAATGGTAAGTATCCTGGTCTGCCAGACAATGAAATATGGCAAGTGTGGCTGGATAGGCATAGACAGTGCTATAAGTATCCTGAAAACAAGTTCACAGTCCAGCACCCAGCCCTGCCAAGCTCCACAGGCTGCCAGTACTCACCACAAAGCAGCCAATCACATCATTCTCTGCAAATTTGTCTCCATAGTTTTCAAATCGGCTATTGGTGGACTTCTTCCCTGTGCCTCCATAACCATAGGAGAAAGGCTCTTCACCTGAAGAAAGAAAATGGCACTGGCACGTTAAACCTGCAATGAACACAACAGTCTCTGGAGCTGCCACATACTTTTATGTTTAAAGACAAAATCATTTTCTTTACTAGTTTAAATCAATCAGATGTCCCTTGTTTTTTCTGGGGGGGGAGAGGGGGGACTAAAAGGAAGTCCTTTAATAATGTTCAACTCCTGAGGGCTTGATAGGCTTGGGGTGTTAAGTTTGGGAATAAGAGCTGAAGTAAGGAGCTGGGGAGATGGCTCAGCAGTTATGAGAGCTGGCTGCTCTTGCAGAGGACTCAAGTTTGGTTCCTAGCACTCACATGGCGGCTAACAATCATCTCTAACTCTAATTCCAGAAGATCTGACACCCTCTTCTGGCCTCCATAGGCACTGCATATACATGGCACACATATATATGTAGTCAAAGCACTTACACATTATAAAATAAAATTTTTTAAAATTATTTTTTAGGAAGCTGGGGCTGGAGAGATGGTTCAGCAGTTAAGAGCACTGGGTGCTCTTGCAGAAGACCAGGGTACAATTCCCAGTACCCACATGGTGGCTAACAACTGTCTGTAACTCCAGTTCCAGGGGGTCCAACATCTTCTTCTGATCTCCTTGGGCACTGCACGACACGGGTGCACTTGCCCACATACTGGCAATATGTCCATACACATAAAAAAATTTAGAGATTAAAAAAAAAGAAAAGCTGAAGTGAATTACTATACACTGAAAAGGAAAACTTGGCGAAGCAGAGGAATTGGGATGGAGACAGCTACTGATTAGGTCACCTAACATTGAGCCAAGTCTACTGGTGTCATCAATTCTTTGGTGGTACTGCCCTTGGTAGAAATCAAACCTAGGCTGTGTTTCTGGAAGACCATGAAGACTGATCCATGGGAAGGGTATGGGACTTCCTCAGGAACTGTGTGCTGAAGGGATCTGGCTGAGACTCCAAGGGCCCTGGCTGACACTGAAGTTCTCAGAAGTCCTAAGCCAGGAACTCAGAGAGTGCCTACCAGAAAGCAGGAACAGAGAGGCATCAATCCTAGGCCTAGCTCGACAGACACCCAGTTGCATGACCTTGGGTATATTTGACTTCTCTGGGCTTTGTTTTCTTATGTGTACCAACTGTGCCTACCACTTACATTTCAAAACTAAGACCAAGGTAAAGGCACAGTGGTTAAGAGCCTATACTGCTGTTTCAGAGGACCCAAGGTCAGTTCCTAGCACCCACGTCAGGCAGCTCACAACTGTCTATAACTCCAGGGGATCAATGCCCTCTTTCTGGCTTCTGTGGGCACCCAAACATACATATACATAAATAAAAACAAACAAAAAAGATGAAATGAGGTATCTATGGTTTTCATCTTTGTATTATTATTATTGTATATATATTTTAAGACCAGGTCTTAAAACATTGCCCAGGCTGGCCTCAAACCCTCAATCTTCCTGGGTAGCTGGGATTTATAGATGCATATATCACTGCACCTGGCTCTGACCCATGATTCTTTTCTTTTTCTTTTCTTGGTCTTTTTGAGTCAGGTCTCCTTGTATCCCCAGCTGGCCTGGAACTATGTAGACCAGGCTGACTTTGAACTCACAGAGATTTGCCTGCCTCCCAAGTGCTGGGATTAAAGGTGAACCCAGTTCTTTTCTTTCTTTCCTTCTATTTTTTTTTTTTTTTGAGACTGGGTCTCATGTAGCCCAGGTTGGCCTAAAAACTTATTATGCAGCCAAGCATCTACATTCTAAGAGTTGGGGTTCTAAGTGTATGCCCCCATTCTTGGACTGACCTGATTCTTAAATAGAGTGCTACTATATACATACAGAAATGAAAACTGGCTAGGTAGTACACGCCTGCAGTCTGAGCACTTGGGAGGCAAAGGCAGGTGGATTGCTCTGAGTTCATGGCTAGCCTGTTGTACATAGTGAGTTCAGGCCAGCCAGGTCTACGCTGTGAAACTGGCTATCTCATCAGCCCTGCATCCTCCTTTTAATCTATCTTTTTGTGTGTGTGGTGCTGAGGATCAAACTAGCATACTTGCTTTGAGAAAAAAAAATTATTTTTATTTCATGAGTGTATTGCCTGCATGTAAGTGCACCTGTGTCATGCAATGCCCACTGAGGTCACAAAAGAAACTTGGATCCCCTGGAACTGGAGTTATGGACAGTTGTCAGCCGTCATGTGGGTGCTGGGAACCCTGGTCCCAGTAACCCTGGTCCTCTGCAAGAGCAGCCAGTGCTCTTAACCATGGAGCCATCTCTCCAGCCCCATAGCATATCTACTTTTAAGGATTATATACATAATAGAATTATGTTGAGCAATTATACATAATAGAAGCTCAAGTAAAAATTCACAATGAACTGAAATGAGCTACAAAAGACTAGTTAAAGCAACTCAATAGGGTTAGAGACATAGCTCAGTGGTATAGCAGCTGCCTGTCTAGCTTTTGAAAGGCTCTAGGTTTGATTCCCAGCACTACAGAATAAAAAATAAAAGCATATGTATAAAATGGAAAATTATGCATTGGTCAATAAGCCAAACCTATTTCCAAATCTTTGCTCATCAAATATTAAAAGAAACCAGGCTATACAACAGTTCATAGCACAGTCCAGTATGAATCTGCATAAAAACCAAAGGAATACCCAGAAGATCATAGATGGGCACCGTGGCCTGGGGTCCTATGAAAATTCAACATCATTCAGAAGTCAGCCCCTGCTTCTCTGCCAATCAGCCCCGAATGGTCACTGCTTCTTTTCCTTTCATTCTAGGCAGAAAACTCTATATAGAAATAAAGAGGGCTTAAGAACTTATGTCAATGGCTTGAGGTCAGTATGGTTTTTAAAGACAAAAGAGTATGAATTAAAACTCTTTGAAGAAGAATTTTTTCATGACCGTGGCTGTTTCAGCTCAATCTAGTATGCCTGAAGGTAGGCAGTGACATGTAACTAACTACTGTGCCAGTTCTAGCCCTGGGTAGTTATGTTCTGAGTCTGATACTTGGAGAAGCTTGGGCCTGGAGAATCCAGACGGAGGGGAGATCACTCCATTCTGAAGACTGCCTGGCTGACCTCCTTACCTAGCTGAGTGCTGCAAGAGTCCAGGGACCAGCCAATACGGACAACGTGGGGGTCAGGCTCTGTAGATGGAAGGTGCTTCACGGAGATTTCCTCATTGATCTGAGGACAGAACACAACAAGGTTCAGGACTGTGTCTCTCAAAGCTGGTAGGTTATGAAACAACGTAAGAGATAAGAATATCAGACAATAAACAGGGAGGCTCAAGCCTGAAATCTCAGCACTTAGGAGGTTGAGGCAAGAGGATTACCCCACACAGTGAGTTTGAAGTTAGTCTAGGCCACAGAGAGAGCACCTGTCTCAGGGGGAAAAAAGAAAAGAAGGAAAGAAAGGAGGGGCTTGGTTGCTGGGGAAAAGAAATTTAAGCAGCTCCAAAAAGCTAAAGCCAGGTCAGTGAACTAGGACCTATAAAGGGATTGAGAGCACTCAGGGCCACAAAGAGGTATTTCAAAATAGACCTCCCCTTTCTATTTTAATACTTGCTACAGAGGAAAAAAAAAATATCAAAATAGTTAGCAGAAAGTTAAAATGCTACAATGTCTTTGGAAGGAAGTCCACCGAAACTGTAAACAGACTGGAGTTATGGTTCAGTTGTGAAAGCACCTGCCTGGTACGCACAAAGCTGTGCATTTCCCCAGCACCACTGAAACCAAACCAAATCAAACCCAGTAAACGCAGGTGCTTTGCAATGCAGCACCACAAGGTCACCTGCAGTGCACCCACAGGAGCCCAATACATCCATGTGGACATATATGGTGCTCTATAAGTCAGAAAGAAACATCAATAAGGAACCAGCTACATTACGTACAACCATGTTGCAAAATGAAATGTATGGTCAAAAGGATGAGGCAGAACTAACGTACCACTACAGGAAAATGCCCAAGACACAGTATTATGTAATAGAATTCAGAGAAGCAAAAGTACTGTTAACACCCTTTACCTGTGGGGAGAGGACAGGGGCTGAGGGGACAGGATAATGTCCCCTTATGTGCCATACTCTTGATTTATCTAAGTCAGAAGACAGAGTGCTATCTGATGTCACCCACACTGCCAAGATACCATATCCCACTGACTTTCAGATCTACATTTCTCACATCTAGACACCTGTGAAGTAACAGTCCATCTTACAATTCACAAAAGAAAAGCCCTGTACAATTTGAAATTACTTCTCTCAAGTGACACAAAGATAATGTGTGACGTACAACAATGGTATCCCAGACAATGAAATATAACCCTGTCTCAGCTGCCATCTATACCAACTGGGGCTAGACCAGTACTTCTTTCATGCTAAACTGTGAGGGTTAATGGAGATAATCCATATAAAGGGCTCAGCACTGTGTACTGTGTAGGTAAGGGCTCTACAAATGCTAACTAACCTAAGTTTGGACATACAAAGAATATATGAGAAGTTTTTGTTCAATGCCGGGGGTAGAAACCACCGCCTTGAGTGTGCTAGACAAGTGCCTGTTCTGAGCTACCCCTAGCCCAAAAGACTAGTAACACATTAAGGGACTTCTGGGGAGGAAGAGGAGACAGACTATGAAAATAATCATTACCTTTTAATTCTATATTGTGCTGCCTGAACTCTGTTCAGCACGAACATGCACTATTGTCATAAAGATGGCGGGGAACTGTGGAGATGGCAGAAGAGTGGCCTAGGCTGGCAACTCTTGCCCACTCTCCTTTTGACCTCCCCTTTAAAGCAGTGGTCTCAGTCCCTTCTTCGTTCATTGATCTATTTGTGTGCGTGTACCCACATGTCATGTGTGCATGTGGTTAGAGGACAATTGGCAAGAGTTAGCTGTCATCTGCCATGTAGGTCCAGGGATTGAACCCAAGATGTCAGGGTGGCAAGTCCCCTTACCCACTGAGCCATCTTGCTGACCAGAGTCTGCTCTTCCTAGATCACTTTCAATAGAAGTAATTCCTTTACCCATTTAACAAACATATCACTATTAGACTGTCTGGCTACATAATATCTGGGATGAATTTCATTGAAGAAAAGGATGTCTGCTGAAGCAATGTATAGGTGCCCACTTTTTCCAATATAGTGATAGTTCACCACACTTTGGTTTGCTTGGACACAAACTAAGTTCAATCCAATCTCATGGCTTTGATCAAGGTGGCTGGTGATACTCTACTGCAAAGGACAGGCTAGCTTTCTGTCTTTATCTCAGCTATTGCTCTTACCTTCATTTCAAAACACACACGGCCCCTTCGGACCCCGTAGCTTGCACGGGCTCCTGACCAGAGGTATGCAAAGCCCTCAATTGTCAATGGATAGCCACTACTCCGATCTCTGGCCACCTTGAAATGCAGGTCACAGTTATCTGTGGAGGAAAAAAACCTGCAATGTTTTATTAGACTCTCGGGAGAGGGACAGGCAGAGGAAAGTTCACTCACTGTGGGTGAGGGTCCAAGAGAAAGCAGCACACCTCTACTTCTCTCCTTTTGAGTAGGAAGACTTGAAACTACAAGCTGGCTTATACTACCTCAAACAGAAACTTAAATTTACTTTTGATGGGAATGTATCACATTCTCTCAAGTCCACATTCAGACTTCAGGATACCAAGAGGCCAAGCCATTCCACACTACACTATAACCACCTGTTTGTGCTGTTTAGGAGCCAGAGCTGTTTCCACCAGTGGTGCAAATATCTGACCCTGAACCACACCTGCCATCCAGGTGCACCACAGGCTCCCATGACCTTTCTCCCACCTGGCACTCACTCTTAGCGCTCTGTAAGAGGCAGTCATGCCTCCAGCAATCCTTTCCTGACCATTCTACCCACAAAGTGCTTTCCTCTCCCTACAGACTGAACACCACTGCCAAAACAGTGACATTTTGTTGGATGCTGCCTTGTGGACCACTGCTTCTCAACACCCTGCAGAATGAATACCTGTCAGCTTGATGTGGCCATGTACACCTTTAATCCCAGCACTTAGGGGGTAGAGGCAGGAAGATCTCTGTGAGGTTGAGACCAACCTGGTCTACATAGTGAGTTCCAGACCAGCAGGGCCATAGGGAAACCTTGTCTTAAAACAAAACGAAACAAACAAAACAAAACATAAAAGTTAGCTGTCTTTGATTAGCCTGTGATAAAAGGGACCGTGTATGTCTTCATCTCTTACCAAAACACAGCCAGCACTCTGAAACATGAGCTATGTAAAGAAGCACAGGAACAAACTGGTAACCTGCTATGTTGACAATGGACTGTTTTCAGGTCTGAGTAGGCTTCAGGGTACATGTGAAATTAAGACTCACAGGTTCTATCACTTAGACTGACTTCAGTGGTCGGTGCCCTCCATAATCATTCCTCCAAGTGGTTAGAGTACAGTCAAGGTGAAAGCCACCCAGGCACTGGAGGACAAAGCATACACTAAGCCAGGCTAGGGCCTCAAAAGACTAAGGGGCACTGGTTTCACTAAGAACATGAGCAGCTGGTGGAAGCTGGGGAGCCAGTTGTCAAAGACTGAAGTTTCCCCAGCACTCAGATTCCTTCCTGATTAGATGGCAATCCTTTGTGCATACAGGATGGCAGACTTTTCAAATTCCCCTTGGACCTGGTCTCAGGAGTCTCACTGAAAACCAAGGTAGGAAGGCGGGGTTTCTCCTCTCTGAAGAGTAGCATGGAGAAACAGAATGACTTATTTAGGGTCACAGAGCAACCCCTGGGAACAGGCCTTCTGTCTCTATATCAGCACCCCTGCTCCAAGCTATGCTGGCTCTCCCAGACAGACAAATAATGGATCTGGATGGGACTAGACAAGGAGTCTGGAGGTCAGGGCAACCCTGACTGGAAGGCAGAATCAGGTGGCACTTTTAAGGACTCACATGTGTCAATGGCAACAAGGGTGTCATCAAAGTCATCTTCATCCTCTTCAGCGGGAGGCTGAGGAGAGCGGCCCCTGTGTTGGAAAGGGCATCAAGTCATGTAAGAATAGTTGGAGGAGCATAAAGGATAAAAGTTCTGCTGGGGTTTATAAGGGGCCTCCAATTGCTTTCTGGATCTGTTTCTTCCCAGAGATTACCAAAATACATACGAGAGCAGTGATGTAGCTCCTGGAGGAGGAAAGGGACAAATGGAGCACTCTGCTAAAGAAGGGCATCAGATTCATTTAGGGAGCGTTTTCAGGTCTTTGCACCCATGGATTCTGACCCACACCTTCTGCCTGCTGAATACTGGCCCCTCATTGAGTGATCACTGACTGGAGGCCACAGTAGTCAAGGGTGTTGGGCTAAGAAGGGCAATGGCAGGGACCTGGTCAAGTCACAGTGATCACAATGCACCCAAGCTTGGGGCTCCCTAGAACCTTGCATGTGGAAGGATATGCTATGACCTGCTTTTTCAGCCTTTCCCTTAAGTGTCCTAAATTGTGAACGAGGTATCTTCCTACAAAAACACTAAAAGATTTTTGTCAAAACATTGTTGGTTTCTGCTGTACAGGAACAAGGAGGTTGAGCCCAATACCTAGCATCCTGCTTGGGTGTTGCAGACACTCTCCACAATAGGCTTCCTTCTAAGGGAGTGCCTTTCCAGCCCTGCTGGTCCAGGATTAGCACAGAGCCTGGCATCTTACGTCTATCCTAGGATGCCTTCCCTGCCAGCTCTGGATTAGAGCAAGGGTCCCTCCTCTGCGCTTCATTAGCAAGTAGCTCCTACCCTTGCTTTGTGGGAGGCAGCACAAGAAAGCCACGTGGTATAGATTCCTTGTCCTAACTTTAGTTACAGCTCAGGAGACCCGGGCCATGCTGAAGGTGGAGCCCACAGCCTAGTAAGTACTCTACAACTGAGTTATACCCCAGCCCCAAGTCCTTTCTTACAGAGAATGATAAGGTAGCTGAGGAAATAAAATGTGTCAGATGAATAGCCCAGACTAGCACAAGAATAGTTATTCCTAGTTTCCATGACTAGAAAAGGCTTCAGGACAGGAGGTGAAGGAGGGCAGTAGGGAGTGCTAGGACAGGGCCTGGAGGGAAAGGAGGAAGAGGAGGGATTGTCAAGAAGGGGCAAAGAGCAATGGCCAGAGCAGAGCGTATTCCCTCTTTTGAGCTCCTGAAACTCACCCACATCTGGGTTAGTCACTCCAGTTTGTGGCAAGTCTAACTCCAACCCTACATTCAGAAATGAGAACACAAACCCACTCTGATAATTGCTTCTATATCCTATCTCCTCTGAGGGTGGGCATCTCATGAATGCTGACTGCATGAGGGTATGGGCAGGAGGGGCTGTGTTTGGGAATAAGGTCAGAAAATTTCTTACAACTAATAGACAAAGAGCAAGACACTGAGTGGGCAGGGTGGTGCACACCTTTAATCCTACCACTCAGGAGGCAGAGGCAGGTGGATCTCTGTGAGTTCCGGGCTAGCAAGAGTTACACTACCCTGTTGCAAAACAGGAGCAGGGCATGGAGGGATGAAGAGGCAGGCTGGCCTGGAATTTGCTCTGTAGTAATAAGAAGGGAAGAAAGGGAAGAAGGACTAAAAACTTAGGAAAATTCAATCCTGTAGTGAATGAAGGAATACAAGGACAGGGAGTGCTCTGCTCAGCCCCTCAGTGAGCAGAGACCAACTGGAACAGGAGGATAACAGCCTCATATACCCACCTTCGGTCCTCCCGGTGCTCGAAGTATCCCCGGCCCCGGTTGTCCTCGTAAGGCCTCTTTCGACTCTGGAACTGCTGTCTGTCTGTTTTCAGCTGTGAAGCTTCAGGAGGGAGGAAGCCGAGTGGTGCTTCCTGCTTCATTTCTGTCTTCACTTCTCCTGTCAGGATGAATCAATACGGTCAAGACACGTGGAAATCCATCAGATACCACTTCTCTGGTCCCTTTACCCAGGTGATGCTGGCAGGTTTGTGACTACAGCAGAGGGCTGGCTGGGCTCAACAGGCCTACTGAGTGAGCCAAGGAAGCTAGGATAATGGGAGGCTGGCCCTTGTCAGTGATGGTTGACAAACTGCTAGCTGGGTAACTCTCAGGCTTCCTGAAGATGAGGCCCTCCAACACTAAATAAGAATAAGCTCTCTCAAAGGGCTCACCTAAAGGTAAAACAATTATTTTTGGTTAATTTTCCAGAGACTCAGGAAAGGTGACCTTGGCCTACACTGAGGGACTCTATGTGACTGCAGAGATCCTTGTAAACTCTGAGATGCTAGAGTCCTATTGTTTCCAATTCCTCCTCCCAAAGAACTTCAGTGCCGCCATTCTTACAAATCTTCTTCAATCTAAAAAGGGAGGGGAAGAAGGGGGAATTCAGGGGTACTGTGGGCCTGCAGCAAACTTCACTGGCTTTAGCCACTCTCCATCAAAATCCAAACACCTAAGCAAGAAGGTCTACAATTCAGCTGTCCTTGCAGCAAGACAAAGTCACACCAAACTGGACATCAGGGAGGGATAGCATTTGAGAACTGAGGAAGTCCCAGTCTCAGACAGATACCAAGAATCAGTGACTAACCAAGAGCGAGCTGTGGAACCAAGCTTGCTGTATTTTCCTGCAGGAGCATCTACACCTACTGCTGATATAGCTCACTCATATCTGTTCATCTCAGTACCCAGTTCAAGTCACTCCCTAGCTCTAGCATATGGACCCAATCTCCTAGTCAAGCTTCCTGGTTCGTTGAGGCAGGGATTAGGTTCAGTCATTTTGAAGGCCACTTCCATGGCTTAAGCACAGACTGGACTCATGGGAGGCCACTGGTGATTGGTAACAGCGCAGAAAATCTCTCGTGGGCCAAATGATCCTACAAGCCTCAGAGCCTGACACAAATCTGCAGTTTAACCTACATTCTTTAATGTCCCTAGCCACACTAAAAAAACACACTAGGGGATTTACTCTGTGGACAAACCAGAATGGAATAAGGATCAACTAGATTCACTGGAAAATGGTACTGGAGCGGGAAGTGATGATGCAAACTTGTAACCATGGCATTTAGAAGACCGAGGCAGGAGGATCCCGAGTTTCAGACCAGCCTGGGCTACATAGCACCCTATCTCACAAAACCAACAATTTTTGGGGGGGTCATTTTGAGAAAGGATCTCCCTGCAAGCCCCAGAAGACCTAGTATCATGTGGACCAGGCTGGGCTTGATCTCAGAGGGATCCATCTGCCTCTGCCTTCTGAATGCTGGGATTAAACATGTGCTCCATCATACCCAGTTTGTTGCTGCTGTTTTTGTTTTAATTAAAAAAATATTTAATTTATTATTTTTATTTTATGTGTGAGTGTATTGCCTGCATGTGTATAAGTGCATTCATGTCAAGCAATGCTCCTGGAGGTCAGAGAGGGCGGCAGATCCCCTGGGACTGGAGTTACGGGTGGCTGTTAGCCTTGATGTAGGTGCTGGGAAATGAACCTAGGTCCTCTTCAAGAGCAGCCAGTGCTCTTAACCACTGAGTCATTTCTCCAGCCCATTTTTATTTTTTAAAAAGTGTCCTAACACCAGGAGAGGAACAGGCTTAAAACTGAAGTCAGTTTTGGCTGGCTCAGTTGTTTTTCTTTTTTTGCCATTTTTATTTATTTTTTTAAATTTCAGTCATTTTTCAATAGTGTGACCTTGCTTTCTGAACAGCAAGACCTACAACTTGAGGAACACAGCTTATACACCAAGAGCACTGGCTTGAGAGCAAATGTGCTGGGTTCTAGCCTCAGTTCTGCCACCAGACCATCCACCTCCTCAATCTATAAAAGAGGGGGAGAGGTTAGGTGGGTAATAACTGTTTCCCTAATTACTATGGAAAACACTTCTGCAAAAATATATTTATATGTTTTATTTATTTACTTTTAAATATTTTATTATTTTTATTTTATGTGTATTGCCTGCATGTAGGTAAGTGCAGGCGTGTCATGCAATGCCCTCGGAGGACAGACGAGGCCGTCGTATACCCCAGAACTGGAGCCATAGACAGTTGTTAGCTGCCATGTGGATACTGGGACTCGAATCCAGGTCCTCTGAAAAACAACCAGTGTTCTTAACCGCTGAGCCATCTCTCCAGCCCTATTTACATGTTTTAGAAGTCTAGTTTAAATAACACAATTCTCAGTTTTCTTCAATCTAGGACTTAGAACCTTTACTGCTGTGAATGAATCTGTAAGAGGTGGCACAGCTTTACTGCATTCTCCAGATGTATTTGGCTAAGGAACCCAAAGAATAGTATCTACTGGAGCAATATTCCTCAGAACACAGGGAATACCAGACTAGATTTAGAAAGCTCCTTTTGACTCCCACATTGTAAGATTAGAAACAAGACTCAAAGATTAGCCTCCAAGTCTAACTCTCCAGAGTGCTGAAAAGACACCATGAAGAGGGTCTGAGTTTTCTTCAAAACCAACGCTCACTGGGAGCTAGAGGGAGGGGGATCAGGAGTTCAAAGCTGGGCTCAGGTATTTAGTTAATTTAAGGCTGGCTTGGGCAACCTAGTGAGGATCCTAGCTCAAAAACAACAATATAATAAATAATAATAATTAAAAAAAAACCCTCAATAGAAAACAAAATCCCAACCCAAACCAAATCTTGCCAGAGGGACAAAGACCAGAAGAATTGCCCAAGAGAAAGAGACAAGGTCTCCATCAAAAGAGGAAGCGTGTGAGTCTTCCTACCTGGCCGATAGGTCTGCTGCTGTGGCTCCATGTCCAGTGGTCTCCTATCGTAGCCTGACTCGTTTTCTTGCTTGATGACCTGTGTCTCATAGAATTGGTTCTGCCTGGTAATATTGTCCATGACATCTTAAGATACAAGAAAAAGTCAGTTAGTTGAGTGCTTTTTGAAGGGCCCAGCAACCACATCATTCTCACTGGGGCCACCATCCTCACAGGGTGAGCCAGACTGCCAGAGGGCAAATAAAGACAACACCTTTAGACAGGAACCATCTAGGAGCCAGCGGCCCGGCTGCCTGAGGGTGAGGGTATGTCCTCTGTGCCTCGAAAGTCTGCACATGGCACAAACTGGGCTCTACAGAAATCAAACATATTAAACCAACCAAGGCAGAAGTGCTTTGGTAGAAACGGTCAGAAAGGTCAAAGAGGTCCAATCTTGGCTCCAGGGTGGGACAATTTCAGACACTGGCACTTCATTACAGTTAAAAGATACAGGCCTGGCTGCTTTAAGGTGTGCTGCTTAGAGCTGCCCTCAGGGTCCAAGCTCAGAAAACTGAAGCACAAACGGGGCCTCTGTCCAGTTCTTTTAACCAACACAGTCAACACTCCCCTCCTTGCCTTTTGCTCTACTGTGGATTGAATTTAGGGCCCCATGCACGTATCTCTAGCACAGCCAAGGTTCTGCACAAACCCCTTTCACCCTACAAAGGCAAGGGGCAACGTCAGCTAAAGGGAGAGAAATAAGGAATCACAACAGTAGCCTCCAGGTTCATTAGGAATAGGCACCCAAATAGCTCGAGGAGGATTCAGGAACAGTTGTGTGCATCCAAGAGGTGCTTAAGAGTAGTAAGAACAGTACTGTTTATATTTATTAACTATTTATGGAGTATATGCTACACTGGGATATGGGCAAGTATAAGCTTGTCCTACTAAAGCCTTCAATGTATGGAGACACACATATGTTAAACAGATACTCAAACCCAGAAACTGTACTTTAAATTCGTTAAGGCCTATGAAGTACAGGAGCTGAGAAAGGGATCCAGTAAGAACACATACACCACTCAGCGTGGTGGTGCACGCCTTTAGTCCCAGCACTCAAGAGGCAGAGGCAGGTGGATCTCTGTGAGTTCAAGGCTAGCCTGGTCTACACAGTGAGTTCCAGGCCAGCTGGGGTTACAGGGAGACCCTGTCTCAAAAAGATCAAACAACAACAACAACAACATACCACATAAACCTCAATTCTAAAGAAACCATAGTCAATGACTCGGTGTTGCAAACAGAACATTCCTAGAGTTGGGTTGGACAACACATGGAAAGCAAGCATAGAAGCAAGACTACGGCGGGGCAGTAAATGAACTTTATGAACTTGGGCTGTTCCAGCAGCATGCAGCCTTCTGCCCCTGGGGTAAGCCCCACTGATGGTGCCTCCAGAGCCCTGCTAGAGGCTATGTCAGGGGCCGTGAAGCAGAACCACAGGGAAGGAGGACTATTCTGCTACTTGTTAACTGACTGGATTCTTTCTCAGAGGACAAATACATCTGGGCACAAACCAGGTACAGCCCAAAGGGAAGAAAGAAGTCATGTGGCTTGTGCCAGTGTCTGTTTACCAAGGTTGAAGGAAGTACTGGAGGGGGACATGAAGTGGCTGAGAGGATTCTGCTGTGGAAGGGAATCAGGAGGAAATAGAGTATCTCTTTAACTGGAATTCAAATCATTGTGCTTTGCAGGCTCTAAGCAGTGTTCTCCCCACAGAGCTTGTCTCTCTCCAAACATCCCACCTATACTCAGTGGAAGGTTGACTAATAAGCTGCTGGGGTCTTCTTCCACTCCCCAAACCATTCTTAACAACAGGCAGGCCTGTTGTAAAGATCCCGAGACATGTGACATCATGCCTAACCACCCTGGGAGGGCACTCTTACTATCCCCATTCTATATACAAGGAAACCAGGCTCACAGAGGGAAGTGATCTGCTTAGCTCAAAGCCACATTTGAAACGAAGTCTGCCTGAGCCTAGAGTCTGTGCTCTTAGCATCCAACTCAGTTTCCTGAGGTCCCTCTGTAGGCAGCAAGGTCAGGGCTGTGCTCTTGCTGCACCTTCCTAGGTGTTTTTGCCAGGGTCCCTCAGCTCTAAGCACAGGCACTGGCTAGCCCTTCCTGCTTCACAGGCAGCTGCCCAAGGAAGCCTTCCTGGCACATGGGTCCTGGGTAATCCCTTGGCCACTCTACCCCAAATCTACACTCAGGATGGCCCCTCCACAGGATCCTGCCTCTCCCAAATAAGGGAGTAGCCAACACCAATCCCAAGTCCCTTTTGAGCCCCAAGCCCCACAGTGCCTTCTTTTCTGAGCAACACACTAAACCCTGGCCACCGGAGCCCCCCTTCTACTTTCTTGGGTCTTGCTAGGAAGCCACACTATTTCCAGGTTCCCTCACCTTGTTTTTAGGGTCTCCTCTATTCAAGGGGACTGCACACCCACCCTTATGCCTCACTCTCATGGCCACACCTCCCAGTTGATGAGACTGTTCTCATTCCCTGAGCACCCCACCTCCCTGGGTACACAAGCTACTGTTTCAGGGGAAAGGAATATTCCCTCAGCTCCATCCTGAGGCTTCCAGCCAAAGCAACAGGTCTTCTTTCTCTTTTCCTTCAAGCTCTCCTCCCCCACATTTGCTAAACCAACTACACTCCTTTCAGGTCACAAGGCCCGACTGCCCACAACACAGTTCACCCACTTGCTATCAACTTATGTTTTTCTGCCCCCGCCCCCAATCAATGTTTTCCGAATCGTCTATGCAAGGCCATTCAGCAGTAGCCACTGGGTATGTGGGTGTGTGAGTCTGTCCTCAGAGCCTTCCCAGTTCTAGACCCTTAGTTCCTTTGTCCAGTGAAACATCCTGTCCTCCCCTGACAGCAAAGTTTCTGGGCCTCCTCTAGAAGCCAACTTCTAGATGGCTCCCATTTCTCTCAGCACAAATGCCCCAAGTAGCCGGCCCTCAAGGCTGGGCCTGGAAGAGAAATGGGGGCGCGCGGAGGGGGGCCGGCACAGTCCAATCACATACTGGTCTTTCACCATCCCCTAAAGGCTCACCTGCCAAACACCGGAGCGCCAAGTCCATCAGACTCTCCCCAGCCTCGGATATTGGCGGCTCCACATCATCAATCTATCCCCAACAATAAGCAGATTTCCCAGTATCCCATGCAGCTGCAAACTCAGAGATCCTGTATCCTCCAAACTCTGCCGGCCTCGCACCCTTGGCCATTCTTCCCCCTACCTGGATGGAAATCCAGCTCCCGAGCGCCGGCCTAAACACACGGTGGGCTTACAGGCCGCCAAGCTCAGCCAGCACCAAACCCCGCAGGAATCACCATTTTCCAAGACCCTCTCCTGACACCCCTCCCCAAAAGCGCCTAGTTCTTCCGACTTTTTCTTGGCTCCAAAAAAAAAAAACCTAGTTTCCGGTTTCCGAGCCCCAGGGTCTGGAGTCCTCCCCACCCGCTCGCTCGCTCGCACTGGGTCTCTCCAGCCCACCGCCCCAACTCCCAGGGCTCCTCCGGCACCGCGAGCCAGGATCCGCCCTCCGGCTGTCCCCAGGCCGGGTCCATAGGTCCTTAAGCGGCCGGTCGCGGGGTCCCCCAATCCGCAGAGCGTCTCCCCGACCTCAGGCGTCGGGCTCCCGCGTCCCACAGCCCGGACTCCGGGCTCCCCGGCCCCCGCCCCGCGCACTCTCACAATGTCCGTCCGGCCCCGAGTAGCCGCCGGGCTCCGGGTGCGGCTGCAGCCCGGGCGGCGGTGGCTGCGCGGTCCCCTCCAGCTCGGAGCCCCCCTCGGTCTCGACCTCCTCGTGGTTGTGTCGGGGTATCCCCGGCTCGTCGTTGGCCTCGAGCTCCCGCTCGTCTTCGGGCTCCTCGGCCTCCAGCGCCGCCAGCAGCCGCTCAGCAAGCTCGGCCTTGAGGCCGCGAGTGTCCAGGCCGCGGCGCTGCAGCTCCTCGCGAAGTTCGTTCACCTTCAGACGGCGCACATCCATGGCCCGGGCCCCCGGGGCGGCCCCCGAGCCCGGCCCGGCCTCCCAGCACTCTGTCCTCCCTAAACCTTGCCTGTCAGGAGGCAAAGGGGGAAAGGGGGGGGGCACTCCAATGGCGGCGGCGGCGGCTCAAAATGGCCGCCGCCGCCTCCTCCCCTTTGCCCGTACCCTGGACGATGCAACACGTGCGGCGATTGGTCAGCGCGAGGGGGCACCGGGCGCGGGCCTGAAGACTGAACCAATCACAGTACGGCTTTCAAAAGGACGGCAGTAAGAGGGCGCTGGAGCTGCCGAAGAGGAAGCGTTGGCCTACGTCGAAGCAGCGGCCAAAGCGGAGGGCGGGAAAAGGAAAGAGGCGGGGCGCACGCTGATTGGGTGGCGTCCGCGCGCCACCGCCGTACAGTCGGAGGCAGGAAAAGGAGTAACGATTCGGAGCAATTAGCACGTAGGTCTCAGAATGACCGCCGTGCGGCAGCCCTCCATAAGCTGTTTCTCTGTAAGGCACATTCTGACTGGTCTAGATTTCTCGCCCTGGAGGAGTCCAAGCGGTTAAAACACTACAACCAATCAAATGGGGCGGAGAGTGGACGGCAAACTCCGTCCTTCCTGTTGCCTTTAAGAAACCGGAAAGAGAGTCGTTCTCCGAGGGCCCGCCCCTTGCCGTTAGGGCGGTTTCAAAACAACGTGTTGACCAATCGCAGTGGCTTTTACATAGCACTTAAACCGGGATAGAGCGGGCGCTTTAGGAACAGCTAATTTGATTGGTCGTTCGGGAGAGGCTGGCCTCGCCGCGTTCGTTGTACCGGGAGGTGTACGGAAATAAGAGATTAAGGGTTTATAATCTGTCAGAAACCAGTTGCATGAAAAAGGAAGTTCTGGCTTCTGAGCGAGCTGAAGGATTTGAAACGGTTTAGACTGACAGCAGGAGAAAAGTTGTATAGTAAATGGCACCCCCATTTTGCTTTGGTAGTGCATCTCCCAGGGCGCTCTTCCCACGACCTGAGCCTCGAGGCAGGCTTTCTTTATGGTTCTTGCCTTACATGGACCCGACCCTAGAGCCTTCCCCTCTGGACAGAAGTTCGCGGGGTCTCCATCTCGAATCATCTAAAGCGTTCACTCCGTCTATTTTGACAATTGCAAACACAACGATCCGTAATTACGCCTCGTGCAAATACATGCGGATGTAAAAATGTCGTAACGCCGCACCACCTGTCGCCGCTAGCTTAGAAGACAAAAGTTAAGGGAAACAGAACGTCGAGACGCACAACGCAGATACCCACTTGCAACCAGGCTATGCCTCAGGCTCAACAAAAGCCACAAACACCCTGTACTTAGACAAAGGCGCGACACAGGAATAGGCGTGAGATAGGTCAGATGCATTGAATCGGGGTAATACACATCAAACAGCAGTGTAGGTGTGGCCAGTAACGTCCGCACAAGCATGCAGCATCGCCCGACAAAGCTACGCCTAGACAGTTCACGCTCCAAGCTTACACCACAGCAACCTAGACACACAGCACCCACTCAGCAGCGGGACAGACACTCACGTGGGCCCAGAGGTTCCAGTCCAGACACCCCGCCCCTCGCCCACGTCCGACTTCCTCTCTCCTCCCAGCTCTCGGTTCCAAAAAAACTTTTGTGGCCCGGATTGAACTGTTCCCGGTTCTCAGCAGCCGCCACGGGGGGGCGGCCGGGCGCTGCCTAGGGTTCTTCCATCTGCAGTCGGCCACACCCAGGATCAAGTGTGGACCCAGTGGGCTTTCCTTGGCGGGAGTTCTTTTGTGCATCTGTGGATCGAGGTGTTCTGGCCTGTTTCCTTGTCAGCCTGAATGTTTGGCTGTGTGTGGACCTGTTGTAGTAGTACTCCGGTGTCTGAACATGTTTATCTTCTTTCTTTGTCTGGTGTAGCCCAGGCTGTCCTGGAACTCTCTAACAAGAATGACCTTGGGCCTCCTTATCCTCCTGCTTCTACTTCTCACTTGTTGGGGATTACAGGCATGCCCCACCACATCTGGCTCTGTGTATGTTATGTTGTTATGTCTCTATTACTAAACGGTCCTCCCTCTTCCTGGTGAGTACTCGCCTGCTGGTATGTTTATAGATTTGTTTGTGTCAGTGTGGTTTTATGTTTCTGTGTCTAAATTTCTGCGTCTTTGTATTTGTGTGCCTGAGTATGTTCAGTAATTTACATGTCTGTTACTTTGGAGTGTGTATGCTCTCTGTCTGTCTGACCCTGAGCCTTTCTCTCGCTCTCTTTCTCTCTCTCTCTGCCTATTTTTCAGGGCTTTCTGAGAGCTTGCCTTTCTTCAGTTGTGTATTTTTGTCTATGTATATGTTCGTGTCTACACTCCCTAATGTGGGAAAAATTCCCAGACCTATCAAACCCTTCTTCGTCTTTTTTTTTTTTTTTCCCTTCTGAAGCTGGCCTGGATCTCTGGCTTCAGCCTCCTAAGTACTGAGATTACAGACATGCACTTCCACACCCTACAGCCCTTCTTTTCACAATGGGGAAACCGGATTGCCAGGGTGAGGGGCCATATCACAGCTGAATGGAAACAAGAGGCAGAATAGTGATTGACAAAAGTTTTATGTGACCTGAGCCTCTCTGGAGGCACCAGAGTCCACACTCTGTAGATGGGATTGAGGAACTGGCTCAAGGGGGCAGCATGGCCCAAAAGGAGGGAGATGGTCCATCCCCTGGGGGAAAGGAGGTACCCCTCCCATGCATTGCACAGGCTTAAGGTGGGGGCAGCCCACGTGAGGGGGGAGGAAGTGTAAGTGACTGAGAAAGGGAAGGGCATGTAGAAGAAAAGCTACAGGGCTTGAACTTTGCACCCTACCTAATATTCTAGACCTGTAGACCTTCAGAATCTTAGACACTTAGAGTTTGATTCTTAAAGTGCATAGAACCTTAAGATTTTTAGAAATGTGTATTCTTGGACCTTTAGTTATAGTGCTAGAAAGGCAGAATGCAGCATAGAACCTAGAGGTGTCCAACATTAGAAATGATTAGAACTTTGGTGTCTAGTTAGTCACAACTAACTGTGAACGTCTTACAACATAGATGCTTAGGACCCAGAATCTTGGACCCATAGAATCTTACAGTGCCTGAGACATAGAGCAGGCCAACATTGAAATCTCAGAGTTTAATAATCTAGAATCTTGGAGCAAATAATTTGGAGCCTTAGACCATCTAGAATGTTGGACTGTTTTAGATGATCACAACTTAGAATGTTAAACCTTAGAAACTCCATCTCCAGACCCTTAGGATCTTTAAATTACAGATTCTAGAATCTTATTACTTGAGATCCAGGATTTTATACAAGAGAATCTTCGATCATAAAGCCTCAGAAACTAACCATAACTGGAATCTTAGAACGTAAGAACACAAAAATTGAAATATTATAATCTAGATTTTTACAACATGAAGAGCCCAAGACTGTCGAATTTTAGAACAGCAGGCTTTAGGATTATAGAATCTTTAGAATTTTTTTTTTTTATCTTTTTGAGACAGGGTCTCCCCGTAGCCCCAGCTGTCCTGGAACTCACTATGTAGACCAGGTTGGCCTCGAACTCACAGAGATCCGCCTGCCTCTGCTGGGATGAAAGGCGTGCTGCCACCACGCCCAGCTAGAATCTTTAGAATTTTAAAATCTAGAATCGTCCACTCGAAGAACTCAGAGCTCTAGAGAAAAAAGAAAAATCTCGAACCACAGAGTCTTAGATCCTAGACTCAAACTCAGAGCTATGCAACCTAAAACAACCGGAGCATTGCCAGGAATTTTAGAACCAGACAATCAAGAGCCTGGGAATCTCAGAGGCTTAGAACAATGGGCCTTGGAACTTCCATGTCTGGGAGTATAGCACTTTAGACTTAGGAACTTTGGAATCTTTGGTCCTCAGAATCAAAGACTAATATAGCTTTGAAACTAAAACCTTTGAATCTAGACTCAAACCTTAGAATCTAGAATGTTGGGATGTTAGGCCTGGAAGACCCTTAAAAATTGCAGTCTAACCCTTCCTTTTATGGCTAGGATGTTAGGGCACAGAAAACAGGACGCATCATTCTGGGATGAAAGTGGGAAGGGTAGGAAGATTAGGCTGTGGTTGGGGAGAAGGTATGGGAAAGTGGGGGATGACGTTCCCCCAGTGGCAGTGCCTAGCTTGGGTCCTGAGAGGGTGCCTCAGGTGGAAAGTTGTCTCAGGCTCCATCCTCCTGCCCTGGGGGTGCTGGGGAGCCCCTGTCAGCAGACAGAGTGGGTCCAGGGGCTGTAGAAGGACAGAGGACATAACGTCCAGCAGAATGAACTTCAGCTGCAGTAAGGCAGTGACAAGAATCCTTCGGGTCAGGTTGGGTTGGGGGGTCAGCTCCTCCAGCAGCACCACGGGCTTCAAGGTGACCTCCACCCTCGTCCATGTTGACATAGAGGATTTCATCAGGCTCCTGAGCAGGGGGCAGAGCCTTCAATGTGTTCTCCAGGTCCTCTCGCAGCTCTGCAAAATTTGGCCGGTCTCGAGGGTTCAACTCCCAACACCGGGACATCAGGGCATACCTAGGAAGGCAAAGAGAAGGGCCACAGACTGAACAGGGGCTCAGAAGGGGAGCATTCTAGGAGTTTGGGGGAGATTTTAGGACACTCAGGGAACTGGGGATTGGAAGGAACATAGCAACTTAGGGGCATCTATAGGAATTTGAAAATCCTCAAATTTCTGAGGGGGGATCAAGAGACTTAGAGACTGGGAAGCATCTTAGGAAAACTTGGGTCTCAGGTAGGGTTTTTTTTGCTTTTTGTTTTAATTTTTTTTTT